CTGTCTGATCTTGGAAACAGGAGAAAAGGAGACTGAGAAGCCCACGTCAGTGTCTGCAGGTGGAATATAGGTGTTCAGGTGTGCCTGGGCTGGCAAAAACGTTTAGTAGTGTAGTGTAGTGTAGTGTAGGATATTCCATCTTTACATTAGCTTAGGTCAAGTTCTTTAAATCTTTGAGTATGATAATAATAGGCACCACTTTCAACACCTACTGTACATATATATGTTTATATAGAAAAGAACCTAGTTACCCCCTGGCTCAGTTGGTTAGAGCATCAGTCCCCTACACCAAAAGGTTGCGGGTTTGATCCCAGGTCGGGGTGCATAGGGGAGGCAATCGATCAATGTTTCTCTCTCACGTTGATGTATCTCTGTCTCTCAAAAATCAATTTAAAAAATCCAGTTATCACAGAATGCTATAAAATAATATATACAAAATTTTGTTGTATTACCTTTATTATTGAATAAAGTACTTTTCAATAATAAAAATAATATAACAAGACTCCTTTTTATTAAATTCTGGTAAGGTCAGCCCTGACCAGTTTGGCTCAGTGGCTAGAGCGTCGGCCTGTGGACTGAAGAGTCCCAGGTTCGATTCCGGTCAAGGGCATGTACCTTGGTTACAGACACATCCCCAGTAGAGGGTGTGCAGGAGGCAGCTGATCGATGTTTCTCATCGATGTTTCTAACTCTCTATCCCTCTCCCTTCCTCTCTGTGAAAAATCAATAAAATATATTAAAAAAAATAATAAATTCTGGTAAGATCAAAGAAGACAGTTGGAGTGAATAGGACTGAATTCTGAAGAATAACCACAGTATGTTAATAAATGTATCAAAAATATTCAAGACCAAGGCCTGTACTGATGTGCTAATCCCAGATAAAATCATGTGCAAGTCAGCCTCACCGAAATGACTGGTACTGTCTGGAATTTCTAATGCCCCAGGTGACGGGAAAATCCCAGGACGCCTGAGCGAAGCCCTGGCCTTGCCATGTAATCACTAGCTGTCTGATCTCTCAACCTCTCAGAGGGTCAGAGATTTTAAGTCTCTATGGGGACAGAGTAACCACCTCTCAGGGATTTTGAAGGATTACAGATCATCCAATGGTCTATTGTTACCAAGTTAATACAGTTACACTTCCTCCAGGGAACACAGCTAAATTCTATTTCCAGCCTCCCCTACAGTTCAGTGGGGCCACAGAATTAAGTTCTGGGAGGTGGGATGTTGCTGCAAATGTGCTAAAATGTCCCCACAGCCCTCCAAGCTCTTCCTCCCACGTTCAGGCTAGATGCCCTCAGGACTTTGAAGTATTTATTCATCATCAAGCTCAGCTGCTAAATTGCTGTCCTCCTAGAAGACCCTCATTAGAGGGTGAAGTGCACAGGAATTTGACCATGGCTGTGGTCGTGCAGAAGTCAGCTGACACTGTCAAATACTACAGAAATGCGGTTGTGTGGTTTTTCTTTACCATCATTAATGACTCACTTCCGAGTGGAACACAAATGTTAAAGGGGAACCCACCGTCTGACAATTCAAGTGCCATTTGATCTGATTTGATTCATTAAGGTAACATTTAAGGAACACCTTTGTGTCAAGGACTGTTCTAGACACCAGGAATAGAATGGTACATTCAACATAGTCGCTGCCCTCATGTAGCAAATGTTCTAGTGAGTGAAACAGATAATAAGCAAACCAATTCACACACACACTTTTTTTAAAAATCCCACTTACCATATATCAGGATCCTTGCTAAGTGTTTTACAGGCATTTGCTTGATCATCCTCTTGTCAGGAAGATGCTACTATGCCCAGCTGACAGATGAGAAAACCACTGTTCACCAGGCTTAAGAGCCAGCCCCCAACCTATGCAGCTGAGATTCAAACCCTGTCTGCCAGTCTCACAGGTCTCATGCTCCTACGGGACAGCCAAGGAGAAACGGTCCAGATGAAACCTCAGTCCCCTTGTTCTCCTGGGGCCAGGTTACAACACATCACCACCTGGTTCTCCTCTGGCTAGTCTCTACCAAGTTTGCCCACGTTTCCCTCAAAACCCAGGGCCCAGAAACGAACGCAGGCACTGCCACCTGTTCCTTTGGTTACCCACATTTTGTTAGAAAACATTTGTCTTCATTGGTGAGCACACAGTGCGAAATACAAAACCCGTAGCACAGAAATCCATACCTGAATCCTATTAACCAATGCCACCTCAATAAACATAAGGAAACGTCTGTCTCCGGTGCCCTTTCCAAATGAGGTTTTCACACCAGCCTTCTCATTGCACACAGCGTCCTTGCCTCTATCTAGATTTTTAAAAAAAATATATTTTATTGATTTTTTTACAGAGAGGAAGGGAGAAGAATAGAGAGTCAGAAACATCGATGAGAGAGAAACATGGATCAGCTGCCTCCTGCACAACCCCTGCTGGGGATGTGCCCGCAACCAAGGTACACGCCCTTGACCGGAATCGAACCTGGGACCCCTCAGTCCGCAGGCCGATGCTCTATCCACTAAGCCAAACCAGTTAGGGCCTCTATCTAGATTTCGATCACCCAAACCCCTTTCCTCTTGGTTCATCCTAGGCTGGTTTGATGAGGAAAGGAAAAGATAAAAAAGCTCGTATGCAGGGCAGACTAACCTGGGTCTGCCTGCCTATCTCTCCATCTCCATACACGCAGTGTCATCAGTATTCTGTGAAGTGTTGTAATAACTGTGCATATTTAAATCAAATTCTTCACGGGCTCTTACAGCTATTTCTGGAAGTGGAGGCAGCCTTAAGGACTTTTCTCAGGTAAATACTAGTTTTGGAAGAGGATACCTCACTTCTGTGTGGCCCACTTTATCTCTATTCTGAGTGGAAACAAGATCGGAAGGAGCACATAGGAACCCTCTGCGTTGCTGTGTTCGGGGTCTGAGGAACCAGGGAGAATAATGTAGCATTCAGTCACCCCCTTTTCTTTAGGGTAGCAATAAAGTAAAAAATATCCCTCTTCCCCTTGCCTTGCCTCCAGGCTCAGTGGTAAGTCCTGTGAGTAGGTAATTGAGTGGGTCCTGGCCATTGCCTCACATCCAGGCTGTTCTGTTCTTTTCTTTGGACTCAAGAGAAAGACCTTGGCGGGAACAAACAGAGGAGCAGGGCTCCCGCTGTGGTTACTGAGTAACTCCCAGCTGAACTCTTCCACAGAAATTCGGCAAAACATCTGGCACCCACACCACAGTCGCCTCCACCTCACTGGGGTTTCCAGTAGACCAGGCAGTTATGACACTAATTAAGGGGAAATAAAGTTTATCACACTAAGCCCTGCATTACCATCTGGGCAGCTTTCAGGGGAGCCTCTCAAAGCACGTCACAGGGATCTGTCCCAAGTCTCACAACTGTTAGAAAATGCAGTTTTGGTTTCTGGGAAACCAAATTAAAACAAATATTTATTGAACATGTTCCGTGCCAATACCATTGGGTCTTCAGTGTACCTGATACTCAATAAATATTTGTGTTTGAAGAAACCCTGGTTTGGAGTAGTTCTGACTTATTAATAGGAAGATACTTTAAATGCCTCCCAAGTGGAAAGTTATCAAGCAAAGTAAAAATGCTACTGATTCAGGGGAGGTGATGCCTTGCATTAACAGCAACACTGGGCAAGGGTATTGTAGACAGTTGCATGGAGTCTACATCATTGCTTCTGATTTAGTCCAGCAAGTTGTAGGTGGTGAAGAGAAACAGAGAGACGGGCAGGAGGCAGAGCACAGAGCAGAGATGGTGGAGAAATCCCTGGAGATAGGGGGTGGGTAAGACAGGTTGCCCAGCAGCAATAGGAAGAAACTCGCAGTAAAGCCAACCGTGTTTTCTGTGACTGGTGCCTGTTTCCTGCCTCTGCCAGGGCTGCTCTGGCCAAATTGACCAAGTCCGTTTGAGGGGTGAGGCAGAAAGGAGGGTCTACGAATGGAAGTGGGAGGGCAGTTTCTATCCCATCAGGACTCACAACTGGTTTCAGGCCCTTCCCAAATGGCCAATACTGAACACCAGCAGATGCTACCTGGGCACAGGATGCTCAAACTCCAGGAATCACCTCTTGGGTGGCTACAGGTCAGCTCCACAGTAAATGGGCTGGAGGCAAACCCTTGAGCTGCTCATGGCTAGAGATAGGGGCCAGCCCAAGCTGCGAGCTGCGAACTGTGGAGGAAGCCGAGCCATGCCCTAGGTCCAAGAGTTCAGCAGGTCCCTAGCATGTTGTCAGAATAACAAAAGGCCCAGTCAGTTTGACGGTAGCAAGGGCAAGCCTAGACTGAAGAAAACCATGTTGCTATTATCACACTCAACAAAAATGTCATTCCCTGATATTATCTAATATCCAATAGTTAATCAACTCACTTTCCCAATCATAAATGCCTTTGTACATTTTGTTTGTTGGAATCAGAATCCAAACAAAGTGTTGCAATTGATTCCAACATCTCTTGTGTCTTTGAAGCTGGACTAGTTCCCTCCCTTCTCTTTTTCTCATATTTAACCATGATCTCTAAGAAAAAATAAACCTACATTTATTCTCTAATTGCAAGGAATGACTAATGGGGGGGGGGGGGTTCAGGACAATTAGAAGACGTCAGTAAGAATGGAAAGATAAAAACTGTACCAGGAAGGTATCCAGAGCAGGTCCATGTTGCTTAACCATAAAGAAGGTCCTGAGTTAGGAGAAGCCATCAAAGGCAGGACTTAGCTGTTGAGTCATGAGGTCTCATGGAACACTGATTGGCCCTAAGCTCTGAGAACATTACCTTATTCCTCGTGTGCAATTACTGTGTAATGAATGAAGGAATCTGGGCAGCAGTATATTTAAGGTTGGACTAACTCCTGTGATCTCTCTGCAAAACTGGTTACTACAAATATGTGTTTGCTTGTGTGCATGATCTACTGCTTTATTTTTAACCTAAAAAAGAAAAAAAGATGTAAGGAATTAATCCTATGGTTAGAATAAGTTGACACAGACTCATTTACAACACAGACTACAGTTTCTCATTAATTTATCATTTAATATAAATGCTGACAGAAAGCAGATAAAGACCTTGTAGACACTTTCATATATTTACAAACCAAAAGGTGAATCACCTCCTTCTACTTGTTAAAATGATCCTTTTATCTGCAACTCATGGGAGCCCTAAACACTAATTAGAAGCAACATGAGGCTGAGTCAGTTTCCAAGGTAATAAAGGAAGGAAATAGCATTTTAACAAAATGTGGCATCTTTGATATAAACAACATGCACACAAATAATACTAAATTGAAAAAGATGGCCCTAATCCTTTCAAAAGCCTGCGACAAGCAGAACACACCCTTACTCGCACCCCAAGTTCTGCTGCCCCAAATATCTTCCTACTACTATATTTTTCCACTTCACTTGAAAAAAAATTGGAACTCTAAACAGATTTAAAGAGAGGAAAATGGTTCATTTCAAACGGGGTTCTTTTCCTTATTCCAAAAGGACTTCCAGGAAACAAAGTCTTCAAATAAGACTTTAGTTTGCCAAATGCTAAGAAATTATTCACACCCTGTGAAATTACAACCCATTGTCCATCTGTCTTCACTTTTTCTTTTTAAGTTGGAAATACTTGGAAAAAGTAAAATTTCATAAACTTCAGCAATTTAAAAATCAGCTATGACTTTAAGGCTCAGTACTTTTATTTCTGAACAGGTGGTGGAGGCAGGCAAGAAAGAATAGGGAGCAGAGGCAAGGAAAAAATAGGAATATAATAGGAATACAAGATTTTAAAAAAAGTATTTAGTCTAGCAATGATTTTTAACAGGAAATTTAAATTTCACTATGCAAAACTGTGATTTCATGAAATCATTCATAATCTGACTCAAATCTCATGGGCTCCTTTATTGACCTAGATTATTTTGTCTTGTTAAATATACCTCTGTAGGGCACAATCACATACAATCAATACGATTGGTAAATTACACAAGCTCTATCCCAAGCAAGTATGCATCAATGTTAAAAAGTTATTTTAAAAACAAAAACAAAATAAAACAAAATAAAATCCACCCAAAAAGGTGATAATGACTGCAGAATGTCTCGGGGAGACTGGTATGAGCCTAAAGACCAAATTGACCATAGTCAGGGGAACAGGGCAGCTGGGGTGACAAGGAAGAGACCACACACAAGAAGAGGAATCTCACAACTGGAAAATGTTAAATGGGTGAAAGGTTTTGCCCATTATCTTAATCTACTTTTCCACTGTTCTTGTTCCAAAAAGTCATAGATTCATCATAAAGTAAGATAATGAGGCCCATGCATCAATGAATAAAATGGGGGGAAAAATTTCCCCCATACTTTCTTTCATTCCCAGAAGGTGGGAAGAGAAGGAGAAAGGGGACAATGAAAACTTAGTCAATACACCTGTTAAAAGTAGTCCCCAGGGCTGTGTATTAGTTGAACAGAGGATGTAAAAATAATAAACAAGTTTAAACTGCCTTCAAATTTGAGGAATATTTTACAGGGTGGTTTAGATATGATAGCAAGAAGTGATTTTTTAAAATCAGGCAAAACAAAACAACCAGAAAACCAATTATTCACCCAATAGTTTTTTTCCATCATTTTCTACATCCTTTCATGCACCAGCTGGGGTGGAGTAAGGGGCTACCTGACAGTTTCCAGTTATAAGATGACTCTCTGAGTGTACAACCTGGAATGGATGCCAAAGACTTGTGAGCTCTGTCTACTTAGAGTTAAACAAAACAAAACAAAAAACCCCAACCAACCAGAAACAGTGAGACCTCAATGCAAGAAAATAACTCACCTTATGTTGTATATAATATACTAACTCCACAGGATTTTGTTTTTCTAAATATACATTTTTGTACACAATACTGTCTTGAGGTTTAAGTTCTCTCTCTTGGGTTATTGTGCCTATTTTCTTGTGAAAATAAAGGTTATTATCCTAGGGATGTTTTGCTCAGGAATAAAGTTTAGGGGAAATTCAGTGTTTGTCTGAAAGTTCAGAGGCTCTGAAAACAAGGATTCCAGTGGTAGGTAAGTACCTATATCACAATAGGATTTCAAAAGGCTCTTTACCCAGCTGGTTCAGTGCAGTATTGAAAATCCACCCAATTAGTAGAAGGTGTTACTTCTTCCTGGTGGTGGCAGTTTCCTGTTCTTAACATAACTAGTATTACTTCTCAATTATACTCTAACACATGTGAAGTATCTTTAGCAGTCAAAACAATCTTAAAAAACAAATCTTAAGTTGGTATTTACTATAATTAATAGTACCTTTTGACAAAAACAGCTTTTTCAAGTGACTCAGAAAGGTTAAATGAAGAATTAAAATATATATATTAACTGCAACCCACCTACAACTCCCAATAAGTCATTTCAGCAGGAAAATTTCATAAAGCTGAGCTAAAACAACAAATAAATATAAAACTCACAGCTGCCCAAGGTAGGGAGAATGTGGACCTGCAAACAGGCACAGGGGTAAAATGACGACAGCAGCAGACTGCTTGCTTGTCCAATCCTGAATGCTGAGTGACTGTTTTAGTTTAAGAGCTCTAATTTTCCTCTAAAAGGACAGGCCAATTTTTTTAGGAAGAGAACACTATAATAATGTAACATCAAATAAAAAATAAACAAAGTTGGACTCTAATAAGGTAAAAATCTAAGCAAGCACTGCAATTTCCAGGCAGGTTAACTTTTCCTTAAAAGTAACCGGGCCTTTGCTTTTAATGATATATAAATCATTACAGGTGATTTTTACAGATAGATTTTATGTATGAAACCTTTACTCAATCCTTTAAAATGAGCAAAAACAAAGTGGAAGAAGGATGGTAAGACCTCCACCCATCACCATTTATATACATGAAACAGCCACCACATACTCTTTAGTGAAAAGAACCTATTTTTCTTGGAATGTGATAATCTGACATATACAGCCCATAGTTAATTATGTCTCACCAGCCCATGACTTAACCATAGTGATAGGAGACTGTTCTTTAGGTACAAGTTAAAAAAAGCAAAAATACACAAGATGCTATCATGACAAAACAGTCTCAAAAAGAAGGGAAGGGACCACTTACACATAATATTATTAAAGATATTCCCTGATGAAAGAGAAACTGATGAATTTTCATTACTTTTACATTTTATAAGGCCAGCTAACATTATCAGTTAACTTTAGATAAATCTTACACAGTACAATCAACTCACAAATACTTAAAGGTTACACAATCAAAATGGCTACTATTTTCCCCAAACCAAAACAGAGTAAAGCACAAGTCTTTGGCTCTCCTTTAAAAAAAGAAAAAAAAGAAAAACAAAAACACCCCAGCAGGTTACCATTCTGAACCAGACCTTTGTTTGCCTACCAGTAGGGCAAATACCACATTTGTGCATCACTGAGTAATAACACCATTAGAAAAGGCAACTTCACAGAAGTTATTGGCTAAGCGAATTCATTTGAATGCTCTGTTTTGAGGCAGCAAACTGTCACTGTTGCAGATTGGGGAGGGCAGTGGGTAAATCAAGGGGAATTTGCAAGATAGAAAAGGGCCAGAAAATAAAAGAGAAAAACAACTTTGAGCTTCAACTCTGAAGGTCTGATGAAGTTATACATTCAAGATAGCAAATAAGAATCATACCAATTTTATGTCTTTTAGAAAAAGCAAAAGGATAAATACATGGGAACAGTGAGGCAAGGGAAGGGGAACGGATGGGAGAAGGGACTCAGCCACATTAATGCTGTACCAGATAAATTGTGTACATTCTGAGTAGCTGAATATTTGTAGCTGGCATTAGAAATAGTGTCTTGTCATTTGAATAATGTTAGTAGAAACCTCTGCTATAACTAACTTTTGATCAGAAAAGTAACAAGGAATGGATCTTTGGTTACGTTAGCCTCTGTAAAATAGCCAAGACAGGGCAAGCTACTGGACTTACATTGTGATAGTATCTATCAGTAAGGCAAAAGAGCTACACATAAGTCAAGAAACTGAATCCATATCTCTGAATCCATATTTTCAGTACTTCTACACTTTTCCAGAGACCCCTTAAAAGAAGAATAAGTCAAAGTACTTTTATATTTCTAGCTATAAAATTATGGTCTTACTTGAACAGGAGTGAACACAGTGCTTATTATTCCCACCTTGGCCCTCTCAGAATTGTTCCAATCTGAGACGTCCAAGTCTTGATTTTGAATTCAGTGAAAGCAAGTAGTCATTTTCAGAAGAAATTAATATTTTAATAAGTAGAAAGCATAAAAACTTATTTCCTATCTGACAGGTTTAATCTCTTATTTCTAATGGCATAAATTTTAGAAGCTAGAAAAAATCAATGCCTTTCACAGATTTCGACCAAAATAGGCGTTAAAACAGTCAAGCACTTTTGCCACTTTCCCTTACAGGCTCATGTATCATAAAGTAAATCACAGAGAAAAGGAAAAAAGAACCCCAAATTTTGAGGCTTTATCCTAACACTGCTTGTGAGCACTAGGAAAGCTTTAAGAATATCCAGGAGGTGGGCTACAGGCACATGGACAATATACTACTCCCCTGCCTTTCCATGCAGCCAGCTTGCCTCAAGAGTGTGGGACCTTAGAGAGGTACAGCAAGAATTAAGGCTACAATTTAAGAGATCTTCCTACCCCCCCAAATAAATATACCTTAAAAAGTGAAAAACTATTTTAAATCAATTCAAAACAGTGGCTTTCCTGGTTTTATTCAGAAAAGGAACACTGTATAAATTAATCCGTTCCTGGCTAGTTTGGAGTATCAAAATGGTGATAGCTAGAATGAGAGCATTTGAAGGCCACAGAATAACAGAAGCTATCAGGCATGGTAATAGATACCCCAATGGAATTTTACTTATTCTGAACTTTAACAAAATCAATATCCTTAAGTTTCATTTTGAGTTCCAAATTGAACATGTTAACATGTCCAAAGGAGAAGATCTGCCCAATTCTGCCCACAGAAGGTTGCAGGCCAAGAATGTTGCCTTTTATGGTTGTCTATATAGAAAAATGAAAAGTATTGGGGTTCTGTCAGACACACAGTTTCTCTCCTTCTCCCAAAAAAACAATAAACACTTAAAGAATAAATATAAGAGGGTTTTAAGCAAAACAAAAAAAGCACAAAAGTATATTAACAAAACAGAAGAATATGGATTTCAAATGAAAAAAATGCCTCATCTTCATTCAGTGCTTCTACCTCCCAATCAGTCATTTTATCGCAACAGCTGCGCTCATGCGAAAAAATCCTTAAAACATACCCAATATATATACAGATATAGCTATGTATATATGTATATATATATAATATATATAAATTTTTATTTAAATAAAAAAGAAAGCTCGAATCCCAAGCCAATATGTGTATATCAAATCCTTGACCAGCCAGGTCTGTAGGGCATAATCAAATTCAATGTGAAATAGTATATAAACATGGTGCCTTGACTGGGCAAATTAAATAATCGCTACTCAAAAGAGTGTTCTGTTTGGACTCTCCTACTGGTAGGCAATGGCAGGACTGAATTACCCCCCTCCCCCCAATTTGTTTGTTAATATTATGATGGACACAGAGCTTAGACTGAGGTTATGACCTCAGCAGGAGTTAAGGGTTAAGAAAATAAGAAACAAGAAAAATACAAACTCTTGCTTTTACCCAACCAAAGCAATGCAGTAACATTACATAACCAGTGCTTTCTGTTTTAGTAGTATAATACAGAAAGGGAAATTATAACAAATCAGGCAAACAGAGGGATGGGGAGAGTGACTATATCCAATAATCCCCACCTAGCATGGTTTATAGGGTCTTAGTTCAGTACAGACACGGGCCATCAGAATATGTGCAGCAGAACTAACCAAATTCTTCTTTATTCTTTTTAACATTTTCATGAAGAATCTTTTCAGTATTGTAAAACCAAGTCTCTGGAAATTAACCTGTAGGTACTTCTACCTACTTGTGCTAATGATTCTGAACACCAACAACTGATCAATTCAGAAACTATTCCCAGGATCCAGGCAAACCTTTGAAAGCCAGGGGCACCAGTATTTAGGGATTTTATTTTATATTTTTGGGTTTTGAGGGTAAAATAAAAGAATTCAGTGAAATAATGTGGCTCTGTCCATTTTAACTTGAATTCAAGTATTGCAGTTTTAAAACATGGTTGATTGTGCTGTGGTGGTTTTTTAGCATTCTCTGATTTCATCCGAAGTTCAATTTAGAAAAGCACAGGTCCAAATTTCCAACCGTCAGCTCAAAGTAGGTTATACACTAACCAAGTATTTCCAGTGCTGACAAATTAGAGTTCATTCTTAAAATAATCTCCATATAAATCTAACCAACAATCTGAACACTGGCTCTGCTTTCAGATTACGTTAAGAGAATGAAAGGGTTCCATGACATGGACATGAGGACTTCAAAACTTGTCTGGCAATTATCTCTGAAAGGTTAAAAACAAAACAAGAAATGAAACCCCCCTGAACAAAAATACGTTTGAACAACATAGGAAACACACTTAACACATGAAGGCAGTGACCCAGAGAGGAAAGGATAATCATGGCTTCCAAATGACAGCTCTCAGAAACCTTGATTTGCTGCACATTTTCTAACTGGTCTGTTACTGTCTTTTTGTTTATCAGGCACCAGAGGATTCTCAGAAAGGCTGGTGCTTTTTGTCTGTTTTAATTTATGGGGTTGTGATAGTGGGAAAGGATTGCAAGGCAGGAATTATACACTGGGTATGTAATAATACCAAAATACAAGAAAAACCTACTTCATTAAGATCATACAATTAATCAAACAGAGTGTATATATAATATCTTCTTTTTTTTAAAGCCCTGGATCCAAGGCGTCCAAAGTTATTAAAATAAAGTTCATTCACAGAACAAAAACAAATTTAATCTGAATTGCTTGCAGATACTGCTAATTTTCTTTTTCTTTAAATTAAAAAATGCATTAATGTGATCTATGTGCAGGGTTTGTTTTTAGTAGTGGTGTTTGTGCACATTGCCTCCGGTGCTTTCCCTGGACTTCTCTGACCACTCTCAGAAAAGAAGTTTAGAAGTTATCGTTCTGCTACCCTACGTCCTACAAATTGATTCGGAGCAGAACTCCTCTTATTTTAGGGAGCAGAACTGGGTGTAACTCCTGATCTCTGGGAGTCATTGTTGTCTCCTCCTCCTTCAGGGTCCTCCGATAGGTTCAGAGAGCTGGTCTTGTTTGATAGGAGGCTGATATTCTCTTGTGTCAAGGCTGACCCATTCGGCACATCACTGTTAACATTAAAAAAAAAAAGAAAGAGTTGGAATTTTTAAATAGGAGATAAAATGATTATTTAGTAGAATAAAATCAACAGGACCGTTCTTTCAGTAGTATGAAGACTAGGAATGGCTTTCAAACTTTAATTTACAGCTCTATATCCATGCTTTAGCACAGAGGTTCTCAAACTAAGGCTAGCTGCTGCCAGTTTTTGTAAATAAAGTTTCATTGGAACACAGCCTGCCTGTTTGTTGACATAGTGTCTATGGCTGCTTTCACACTATAATGGCAGAACTGAGAGTTTTGACAGAGACTATAAAACACATAATTTTAAATATTTACAATATGGCCTTTAAGAAAAATAATGCATGGGTTTAAATAGCCAAACTCTAAGCGTGAAAGCGACAAGGCATTAGCAGTTATCTATATATGTAAAAGCCTAAGCGACCATTATGACCGGTCAACTGCTCAACCAGTTGCTATGATGACACACTGACTACCAGGAGGCAGACGCTCAATGCAGGAGCTGCCCCCGGTGGTCAGTGCGCTCCCACAGCCAACCTCCCACAGTCCCTCCCCTTGGCCAGCTGGCCCTGTTCAGCTCAGATCACCGTCCAGGCTGAGGGACCCCACTGGTGCACAAATTTGTGCACTGGGCTTCTAGTTGTTATATATTGTCAGGAGGGCAACTCAGGACTATGTATCAACAGTCTCAAAATGTTCTAAGGGAATACTTAAAGATGTACAAAGAATTAACTTCAGGAAGAACCAAGAAGGCAGTATAAGGTATAAACCTGTATGTGCTGCCCCCGACAACAACATTAAAACTACAACTATAAGACAAAGCAGCTATCATCCAGAACCACGGGAAAGCTGGCCGAGTGGAAGTTCTACAACTAGAAGGAAAGAAAAAAGCGCATTGAGACCAGGTAGGAGGTGCAGAGGCACCAAGAACAGAGGTACAAAGACGCGCACCAGGAGGCTGCACCTGGGTGCGTGGTTTTTTTCAATCGGAAGGGAAAGCAGACTCTCGAATGCACTGAACTCATTTACGGCGAAACTCTGGGGACCCAGACTCCTACGGGGAGAAACTGGACTGTCTTGCAGTGGGTCGGAAAGTGAGAGTGGCTTTCTCGCAGAGCTGCTCGCAGGAATCATTGTTGCTGTGGGGGTGTGGGACTCGGGACACAGAGACGTGGAGTCGCGAAGAAGGCTGATGACAGCCATTGCTGTTTGCTCCGCCCTGGTGATTCTCTGAGAACCCGCTCCACTCAATTTACATCCCCATCCAACCTGTGCGCAGCAGGGCAAGGGAACCGCCTGCCCTTTTGCAGCCTAACCTAACAAACTGCAGCTGGGTCACAGAGCTCCAAAACTTCCAAACCCCAAACAAAGAGGAGAAATCTGCTGATATCGCTGTAGCTCCTGCTGGGTGGACTCACACAGTGGTTGACTTGGAGATCCAGGAGCCAGGGTACCCCTGGCCAGATACCAGATTTCAACTCCTCACATCCATAAGGGACACACTCAAGAAGCAGACTCACTGAGCACCAAAGCCCCACTGAAGCAAGTCCTACCCCATAAGGGTGTCTCCAGCACAGCAGTTCTTCCACTGTAGACACAGCGGGTCCTCACAGTCAGCCAAAAATGCAGAGACAAAGAAACATGTCACAAATGAAAGAAATGGAGGAAAGCAAACTAATGGAGGACATAGAGTTCAAAACCACAGTTATAAGGCTACTCAAGAATCTTCTACGAACCTCCGAGGAACTTAGTGAGACCTTTAAGGATCTTAATGAGAATGCCAAAAACATGGAAAAGGACTAGTCAGAAATTAAACATACACTGACTGAAATTAAAAATAATAAACAGAGATCCAACAGCAGACTAGAGGATCCCAAGAATCAAGTCAAAGATTTGAAATACAAAGAAGCAAAAAACACCCATCTGGAAAAGCAAAACGAAAAAAGAATCCAAAAATACGAAGACAGTGTAAGGAGCCTCTGGGACAACTTCAAATGTACCAACATCCGAATTATCGGGGTGTCAGAAGAAGAGAGAGAGCAAGATACTGAAAGCCTATTAGAAGAAATCATGACAGAAAATTTCCCCTACCTGATGAAAGAAATAGATTTACAAGTCCAGGAAGTGAAGAGAATCCCAAATAAGAGGAATCCAAAGAGGACCACACCAAGACACATCATAATTAAAATGCCAAGGGCTAAAGACAAAGAGAGAATCTTAAAAGCAGCAAGAGAAAAACAGTTAGTTATCTACAAGGGAGTACCCATACGACTGTCAGCTGATTTCTCAACAGAAACCATGCAGACCAGAAGGGAGTGGCAAGAAATATTCAAAGTGATGAATACCAAGAACCTACAACCAAGATTACTCTACCAGGTAGAGTCTACCCAGCAAAGCTATCGTGTAGAATTGAAGGTCAGATAAAGAGCTTCACAGACAAGAAAAAGCTAAAGGAGTTCATCACCACCAAACCAGGATTATGTGAAATGCTGAAGGATATTCTTTAAGAAGAGGAAGAAGAAGAAAAAGGCAAAGATCAAAATTATGAACAACAAAGTGACAACAAATAAATATCTATCAACAAGTGAACCTAAAAATTAAGTCAGAATAAACTGGTGAATATAATAGAAGCAGGGGCATAGAAAGGGGGTGGACTGACAATTCTTGGGGGGGAAGGAGGTGTGGGGGGTGTGGGAAGAGACTGGACAAAAATCTTACACCTATGGATGAGGGCAATGGCAGGGGGTAAGGGCATGGGGTGTGGTGGGAACCAGGTGGAGGGGAGCTATGGGGGGAAAAAAGAGGAACATCTGTAATAATCTGAACAATAAAGATTTATTAATTAAAAAAAGAATTAACTTCAATATCGTTTACTGCAGGGTGGTTCACAATATCTGACAGGTATCCTTCCAAACCTGTAGAAGAATTATTAGATGACACGAATAGAACAAATTAAAAACCAGGGAGATGGAATGGTGGGTGGGTTTTGAAAGAAGCTAAATGCCCACACTTTTTAAAAAAGACTAGAAAGGTATACATAAAAATGTAAACATTGTTTTTTCAAATAAATTAAAAAGCAAGGGAAAGAAGGAAATGTAACCAGTCTTAACAGATAATTCAATTTTGGATCTGTTCTAAAATAAAATTTTAGACTCCTAAATTTATGTGAAAATATTCTTTCTCAATGTATACAGAACAATGACACTTTAAAAATCAAATCATTGGGGTATTTCTGTCATGACTGTGTAATATATGACTATGCAAATGACTCTTTCTTTACCTGAATGTCAATGTAAGATCCTCGGTTGGAACCTTAGCTTGTGGTTCTGGTTGTCCATTTTCTGCTTGCTTACTTGTATTCAATTTGCTTTTCATATCCAGAGAACACTGGTTCTCCTTAAGAGAAGGAAAGAGAATGAAATAAATTCAATTAGCTTCTATTTAATGGTGCTAATGGAAGAGAGATCAAACAGAGATAATAGAAACTGATGATCCAGAAATCACATAGTTTTGTAAAATGACTAAAGAAACAGGCAGACTAAAAGAGAGACATACACAATAGAGTACAATCCAATTGTTCACTACCCAAGCTGAACAATAAGGGGGAGAATGCCTCAAGTTAACATGGAAATATCTCACATAAATGAGGACTTAGAAAAAGCAAGCCAAATATAAAAATCTATCTATAATCTACTTAATGAAAACAGAAAAACTACCCCATTTATTTGCTTAGAAAAAATGTGAAAGCTACACAACAACAAAGTCAGTTACATGCAAGCTGGGGGACTGGTTCAATCCCCTAAGATTCAAAATTTACCGAAATGGATGTTAGTACACTATGAAGCAAAGCCTAAGCACATCCATGGATATAATGCCACAGGAAAGGGTGTGTAGATTGTATCCCATAAGAAAAGCCAGATCATCAATAACAAGGGCTATGAAAACTAGAATGCTATTTGGTAACATGTAGTACATCTTTATATAACATGACAATATCAGCAAAATCATGAACAACACACTCCCACTGCTTCCTTAATCAGTAATGTTTAACAGAAATGTAGTAACTTCCAAGTACCTGCCTTGTTTTCCCTAAACGTTTTTTTGTAATGCAGAATCCCAACACAAAGAACACAGTCAAATCAAAAGGGAATGAGGAGAGGAATGATAAAATAGGATGAAAGCCCATCTTCATGAGACTTATTCTAAGCATTTATTACTCCTTGGAGTGCCTTGGGGTGATGATTCTACAGTTCTGGGTGATTCTACAACTCTAGAGCTATGAGTTCCATGATGGACGTTTTCCTTTCACCTTCCCTTTCTTTTCCCACCACAACACTCACCAAACTCAGTTCCCGGGTTCTCTTCCCGATTTCCCTTTCCACCTGGTGCAGTTCCAAGCTCAACTGCTCACTTGAGATCATTCCAGGCCATTTTGGAGGTGGTGGTGGTGGCTGTGACTGAGCTGCCAGGGTATTCACCTCCCTCTGCAACACCAGCCTGTTACTAACAGCCTAGTGCATGAAGCCAAGCACATACACAATTCAACACATTTCACACCATGCACAGAAAGGCCAGGCCCGATTTCAGACCACAGCCAAAAGCAGCTTATCACTCAGGTATTTGCAATAAAAATGGTGCAACTGTAAGATACTGTCTCTTTCTTTGAGTACTATGTGAAAATAAAAACATAGAGGATTTAAACTTAGTGAATAGTAATTTGATCTTAGGTATAAGTAGCTCTTAAAGAAGTCAACATTAAATGTACATTCTTCCCCCTTTTTATTTACATTTTTCTGAAGTAAATCCTTTAATTTCAATGAAATCTCATTAATGGCAAGGAAGGACCTTTAACCACAGTTGAGTTAAATATGTGATAAGCTTCCAAATGACGGTGATATTCTTTTGGGACAGAAAATGGGTCTAGAAATTTCAACTAAGATAAAACCATAAATCAGCAGCAACACTGAATTTGGAGTTTGAAGACCTGGGCTCATGTTTCAATCTCTGTAAAACTAAAAAACTTCCAACTAAAAAAGGGTAATAATAACATCTGCCTAACATACCTGTCAGGGACATTGTATGAATCAAATAACATGTGATAACTTATAAACTAAAAGAACTGTATTGATAAAGGTGCTATTATTATACAGAGGCTATTTTTAAAAGTCAAAGATCTAAGCTTCTATTTTTAAAATACGTATAAATAAATGCTGGGACTTAAAGAATATAAGACAAATTTTTAAAAGTTAAAGAAATATAAGAAATTAAAAACCAATTTTAAGTTAAAGCACATGTTGATAAATATCTATTGTGAAAATTTAGATAACCTGTCTTCTATCCTCAAGTAATAAAATAATAATTTTTGCACCATCCCAGAACTAAATTCTAAGTGCTTCAATTCTTTGAAGAAAGGACACCTATATACTAGTAACTGTTAAAGTGGTACTTCAAAAGATCCTCCTAAAATCTTTGAGCACTCTTCAAAAACTGGAGTAAAAAAATATTTATAGGCTGGTACCTCTAGTCCACGTAGCTGGGTCTGTTGGCTAATTTGATGGTTTAGCTGCTGCAATTCTAGTCGTAGCTGTTCCCTGTCAGCAGATGGAAGGGGTTTGCCATGACTGGCCACTTCTGACATGGATATTCTCTCCCTTTGGTGGGAAAGAAAGCATGGAACAAATTACAATGTTTGCTTTTAAAAAATACTACCTAGAAAAACAAAATAAGAGAAGTTGAATAATTTTAAAGGTTTGTAAAAGTAAAAAGAATGACTCATACCTTTCACTGAAGTGTCCCTGAGAAGGTATGTTTTGATGAGGTGAGTAGGAAGAACCTCCCCAGCCACCATGGGTTCCATATGGACTGTAATCTGTAAGAGAAGAGTAACTCACTGTAGAGCAACACAATCCACAGATTTGATTCTCCTAGGGCCGTGGTCGGCAAACTGCGGCTCGCGAGCTACATGCAGCTCTTTGGCCCCTTGAGTGTGGCTCTTCCTAAGCCTTAGGAGTACCCTAATTAAGTTAATAACAATGTACCTACCTATATAGTTTAAGCTTAAAAAATTTGGCTCTCAAACGAAATTTCAATCGTTGTACTGTTGATATTTGGCTCTGTTGACTAATGAGTTTGCCGACCACTGTTCATGGTCTAAAAGGCACAGGCATGGTATGTACACAGCTATCTGGAAAGATGTCTCCCAGTACAGTAACAGGGCACTGATGTCTGTTTTTCCCCCAGTGAAACATCAGTCTTGGTAATTTTTTTCTTTTGCTTCAATTAAAAAAAAATGAGAATGCATTATTTTAATAAAGAGTAATGAAGCTATTAAAAAACTAGGCAATCTTCATATCAGACATTCAATTTTAGTTTATACCCCTAGAATTGCCTGGGTGATAATTACCTTTCTACAGGGATAACTCCAAGGAAAAGTTTGAAGACAGATTGTCTTGGAAGATTATGGGAAGCACTGACAGTAAGAGAGTAGTAGGGAGGGTGCTGGGGGGTCATGTCTGTGAACCCTCTAGATGAGATTACCCAGGAAGTTCTTACCTGAAATATTAATAGATTTTGTGGGAGCTCCCTGAGGTGCCATAGCCTGCATTGGGCCAGCACCCTGATATATTGTTTTGGAAGTTCGAGAGATGGCACCAAACCGAGATACTGTTGGTCGGTCTCCAAATGGGATGAGGTCATCATCACTGGTTTCTGTTGCTCTTCTCTGATGATCCAACCGCTGGTCTCTCATTCCTTTACTCTCCACATACTGATAAGTAAAATGAGAAATCCACCCCACTCTTAGGTCTCTAATATAATTTCCTCTAACTGTAATTAGGTTGAAAAAGAGTACAATATCCTTACTGCTAAGATTAAAATCATTAGTTGCCTTTGGTTGGTTGTCATATAAAACATCACTTTTTAAACCTTTGATCATTCCACAATATTATATTTTACTAGAGGCCCGGTGCACGGATTCGTGCACTGGTAGGGTCCCTCAGCCTGTGGGGATTGGGCCAAAACCAGCTCTTGACATCCCCCAAGGGGTCCCGAATTGTGAGAGGGCAGTTCTTGGGTGACGCACCCTGGAATCAGGCTCCCTCCTCTCTGGTTCCAGGTCCATCACCTGAGAACTGCAACTGCCAAGTCACTGCAGCTCGGCAGCTTCTGCGTTGAGCGTCTGCCCCCTAGTGCAGTGATGGCGAAACTTTTGAGCTCGGCGTGTCAGCATTTTGAAAAACCCTCACTTAACTCTGGTGCCGTGTCACATATAGAAAATTTTTAATATTTGCAACCATAGTAAAACAAAGGTTTATATTTTTGATATTTATTTTATATATTTAAATGCCATTTAACAAAGTAAAATCAACCAAAAAAATGAGTTCCCGTGTCACCTCTGACACACATCGTAAGTTCGCCATCACTGCCCTAGTGGTTAGTGTGCATCATAGCTACTGGTCGGAGCATCTGCCCCCTGGTGGTCATTGCGCATCATACCTACCGGTTGCACAGTAGAACAGTCGCTTAGGCTTTTATATACAGTAGGGCCTTGACTTACGAGTTTAATTCGTTCCGTGATGGAGCTCGTAACTCAAATTACTCATATGTCAAATCAACAGTGAACAAGTGAGATGTTCACTGTGACGTTCACTGCGCCAACTAGCGGCGGGGTATCTGAAGCTGGCTCGTAACCCAAATTTTAGCTTGCAACTCAAAGCAAAAAATCGGCCGAGAGACGGCTCATATCTTGAAAAACTTGTTAGTCGGGACACTCGTAAGTCAAGGCCCCACTGTATATAGATATCATGAGTCAGCTCATATATACATTCAAATGTAATTTCATGACAAATATTTACCCTTACTATATGAAATGTACTCTGGTATTTATATTGTTATTCTAATTCATTTCTTTAAAGACCCATCATGACCCAATCAGCTAATTTCAGAACTCAGTAGTTAGAAAAACATTGTTTAAAAATGTAAGTGCCAACACAGGACCTTCAAAGGGATTCCAGTCAGAAAGAAATAAGTATTGAAATAAATAGAAATGGAAATCTAATTGTAGACCATTGCTACTGAAAGTATATAGTGTGGGAGCAGCAGCAGCGGCGATTGGAAAATATTAGAAATGCAGACTCTCAGGTCCCACCCCAGTCTTTCTCAACTTGAACCTGCACTTTAACAGAACTTTAGGTAATTTATGTGGACATTCATGTCTGAGAAACAGCTAAGAGATTTTCAATTACATCTAGGTTAGGTTGGCAAACTTTTTTATTTACTGATCTAAGAAAATGAGGTTTTTTTTGCTAATATTTGTTACTTTACTATAATAACCCTTTCTGAAAGCCAGATACAAAGCAAGGGTTTCTGTTATCTCTGCCTCCTCATCTCATTCCTGTTCTTAGACAGTTTTCTATGGCCTAAAAACATGTCCCCAATCACACCATAGAAAAACAAAAGGTTTATATTTTGCTTCTTCTTCCTCTACATCCCTTTCTATCTGTCTATCTCCTTCCCTCCCTTCCTGCCTCCCTCTGGCATCTAATTATATTTATACTATAGGTATCACTTTATTCATTTATAGCAGTATTAGCATCTAAGTCTCCCTTTTCTATTAAGACAATTGGTCTTCTTTTAACCAGCTGGACAAATATTGTCTACGAAAACCAATATAATAACCTAGGAAACCTTTGTTACAGTTAATAAGAGCAAATGTTAAAGAATAGTCAAGGCATACCTTTAACCCAGCAATACCATTCTCTAAGCATAATTTCCACGCATGTGCACAAGAAGACATACACAGAAATGTTCACTGTAGTAGTGCACATAATAGTAAAAGATAAAAAATAGCCTAAATAAAAAAAAATAGCCTAAACATCCAACAGAAAAAGAAATAATTCATATATATATTTATTGTTGGATTTCAGTTATCCAATGGTATAGGATAAAAGCAGTTAAAATGAATGAACTTGAACTACAGGTATAAATTTGGATACATCTCAAAAACACTGCTGAGTGAAAATGCAAATTGAAGTATATAATATGTAAGGTCTATAAACATGCAAAACAAAATGGTTTAAGAAGTATAAAATTATCTATACAATGGTAACTCAGGATAGAGGTTACCTCCCGGGAAGGAGGGAGGGGAAACAAGAGATGAGGCAAGTATATGCAGGAGGATTTAACTACTTTTGTGAAGGTTTTTTTTTTTTTTTTTTTTTTTTATTATGCAGTCGAGTTTCCCACATTTGGGGAAATCGCAGGGGTCAGCACATCCGGAGTGCAATGGATAAGCCTCGCCCTGGGAAAACCACCTTCGTGATCATGGTATCTCCCCTGCCAGGTAAGTATTATTTATTTTTTTAATAAAGAAGTAATTAGGATAAAATACTGATAATATTAAGCTTGGGTACACTGGTGTTACATTATTTTTTTGTTAAGAAAAAAATAGCGTAAGTGTAACATTTCAGTATACCACAGCTCACTTGAGGTTACATAGCTCCAAATCTGACTCAGATACTACTATTGTTCACTAGATTCCACTTTGTTGTTTAAACTTCAAAGTTGTAGAAGAGTTATAATTTCTTGGACAAGAAATCCAGGATCTTGATTAATTATGCAAAATAATTTAATTTTGTTTCTAAACTGTTGTTGGGTTAACTGCCAGATGTACAGAAATATAACAAATGTTCTTCTTTGTCTAGGTAAGCATTAAAATATTTTTATTTACTCCCTAAAAAACAAACAAAAAAGTATAGTTTAAATATAATTCAATTGCATAGTATATAATATGGCCTGAAACTCTTAAGCAAAGCTCAATTATGTATCTGTACTATAACGGGGGATAATTTACTTGGTTATCTTGGCTTATATTAATTATGGCTTAGTTATTACACATACCATCATTTCCACACTCCCTGCTGCCACAGCATCTTTGGGTTTTGCATCTTTGGTTCCAATGTAGGAGCCGATGGTGTCACATGACCAGGGAGAGTATTGGCTATAATCATTTCCTTTATATTTCCCAGCTACCTTCAATTCTTCATCCAATAACTAAAGAAAGGGGGAAAAAAGAAAAGAATAGGAAATGGGTCTATGAATAACAACACAGAAAAAGCAGGAATTTCTTAGAACATCATGCTGAAACAAGGTAATGGTGGTTATTTGATTTGTCACAACAGATTTTTATAGAATATAAAACATATACAACAAGTGAAGAATGATGTTTAGCCTTTACATTTTGTTAGCAGAAGTCAGAAAGGAAGTATCTCAGTGTCTTTCAAGGAATCAAGCTGGAGTTTTGAGGTTTGATCATTCTCTTCCTCATTAGATCATATCAATATGTAAGCAAATATGTACCAAGCCCTCAAGTTTTGCTAAGCCGCACCCTCAATGTTTCTTTCAATAACACTCCAGGTAAAAAAGAGTATTAAAACTATTTTGAATGTTCTATATAGTTATGTTCTATATGGTAATAACTTTTTTACTGAAATCTCTTTAACAGTAATAATTCATATCTTGAAAAATTTCTTGTCCTGAGGTTGACTCAATGGAGTGAAAAGGATAAGATGCGAAGAAGAAATAAAATGGAGAAACTAAGATGGCGGCATAGGTAAACATGGGGGAAATTGCTGCCTCCCACAACAACTTCAAAAATACAACGAAAAGACAAAACGGACATCATCCAGAACTACAGGAAGGCTGGCTGAGTGGAAATTCTATAACTAGAAGGAAAGAAAAGCACACTGAGAGCCAGAGGAGCTGCGGAAGTAAAGTGCAGAGGTATGGAGGCTCGCGCGCGCGCGGAAAGGGGTTAGCACCTGAGGACGCGGCTGTCTTTTTGAATTGGGAGGGAGTCACAAGCTCCCGACTGCTTTGAACTCCGGTTCCCGGAAGTCTCTGGGGACCCAGGACGCATACAGGGAGAAACTGGACTGTCTGGCAGCGGGCAGAACTCGGAACTCGAGGGCGGCTTTCCCTTAGAGGTGCTTGCAGCAATTATCGGGACACTGAGACGCGGGGCCCCTTAGGGCAGGGCTGAGGATCCGCCATAGCTGCTTGCTCCGCCCTTTGATTCCCTGAGACCCTGCCCCACCCAGGCTGCAGCAGAGGCTTTTGCATATGAATGCCCTGGCCCTTTGCAATCTGAAAATTACCTAACAAACTGCAGCTGGGCCAGACAGACCCAGAACTTCCAAGAGAAGGCCCAAGGTCCCATAGCAGCTTGCATTGCTTCACAGCTGGGCCTCATCAGGGCACCTCCAAACTCCAAAAAAGGAAGGGGAATCTGCAGTTCTCTTTGTAGCTCCTGCTGGGTAACCTCAGGCAGAGGCTAAATCAGCACCTCCTTAGATCCAAGAGCCAGTGTACCCAGTTGTCAGAGGGGGACCATCTGGATTACAACTCCTCAGATCCATAAGGGACACACTCAGGGCACAGACTCAGTGAGCACCAAAGCCCCACTGAAGCAAGTCTTGCCCCAGAAGGGTGTCTTCAGCACAGAAGTTCTCCCACTGCAGACACAGCTGATTCTCACTGCCAATTGGCCTGGAGGTCAATTCCTCCCAGTGATCCTACAACAATCAAGGCATAACTACAACAAGACTGCACTAAGCCCACAAGGGGGTGAACCAAGAGTGTCCACCTCAGGTAACTGAGGAGGCTGAGCCACTGGGCCCTACAGGACACCTAGCACACAAAACCACTCTACCAACACAGGGAAGCATAAAAAATGCGGAGACAAAGAAACAGGTCACAAATGACAGAAATGGAGGAAAGGAAACCACTGGGTATAGAGTTCAAGGCCACGTTTATAAGGTTTTTCAAGAATTTTATGGAAACCGCCGATAAATTTAGTGAGACCCTGGAGGATATGAAAAAAGACCAACTAGAAATTAAGCATACACTGACTGAAATAAAGAATAATATACAGAGATCCAACAGCAGACAAGAGGATCCCAAGAATCAAGTCAAAGATTTGAAATACAAAGAAACAAAAAAGACCCAACCGAAAAAGAAAAAAGAAAAAAGATTCCAAAAATATGAAGATAGTGTAAGGAGCCTCTGGGACAACTTCAAGCGTACCAACATCAGAATTATAGGGGTACCAGAAGAAGAGAGAGGGCAAGATTTTGAAAACCTATTTGAAGAAATAATGACAGAAAACTTCCCCTACCTGGTGAAAGAAATAGACTTACAAGTCCAGGAAGTGCAGAGAACTACAAACAAAAGGAATCCAAAGAGGACCACACCAAGACACATCATAATTAAAATGCCAAGAGCAAAAGACAAAGAGAGAATCTTAAAAGCAGCAAGAGAAAGACAGTCAGTTACCTACAAGGGAGTACCCATACGACTGTCAGCTGATTTCTCAACAGAAACCATGAAGGCCAGAAGAGAGTGGCAAGAAATATTCAAAGTGTTGAATAGCAAGAACCTACGACCAAGAATACTTTATCCAGCAAAGCTATCATTCAGAATAGAAGGTCAGATAAAGAGCTTCACAGATAAGAAAAAGCTAAAGGAGTTCATCACCACCAAACCAGCATTATATGAAATGCTGAAAGGTATTCTTTAAGAAGAAGAAGAAGAAAAAGGAACTCTTACCATTTGCCACAGCATGGATGGAACTGGAGAGCGCATAAATACCACATGATCTCACTCATTTGTGGAATATAATGAACAACATAAACTGATGAACAAGGACTGATCCAGAGACAGAGAGGCATTGATTGGACTGTCGGGCCTTGGAGGGAAGGTAGGGGAGGGTGGGTGTAAGGGGGAAAGATCAACCAAAGGACTTATATGCAAGCATATAGGCCTAACCAATGGTCACGGACAACGGGGGGATGAGAGCATGAGCGGGGGGGGTGGGGGTGGGGTAGGGGGTAACATGGGGATAAGGACACATATGTAATATCTTAATCAATAAAAAACATATTTAAAAAAAAGAAAAGGATAAGATGCATAATTTTGTTTTCTCAAGATGAAATCTGAAATTATATAATGACAGAATAGCTATTCTAGGTCTAATGTATTTTTACTAAATTCACAACATTCGTACCTGTGTAATGTTTTGCAGTATTCCAAGTGCTTTGATGCACACTATCTCTCTCATATGTTCAAGTCCACATGATCTAACCAAGGCTCCATCAGTCTAGGGCAGTGCTAGAACTACAACTTCAATACTGCTTTCACTTCAGATATATATACCGATCCCTAGGGGCCACTGGTACACATAACTGGCTCTATGCCTACCTCCATCTAAAACAATCTTGTTTTCTGAATTATCAGTATTGGTCTTCTGTGTGGCACAGTGTCTGCTGTTTCCAAGTATCACTCAGTTTCAACCACAACTCCTACTTTTATGGTTAACACCTTTTTTGTTTGTCCTACCTCTATTTTTAAAAATATATTTTTATTAATTTCAGAGAGGAAGGGAGAGGGAGATATAGAAACATCAATGAAGAGAGAGAATCATTGATTGGCTGCCTCTTGCATTCCCCACACACTGGCGATCGAGTCTACAACTGGGGGATGTGCCCTGACCGGAAATCGAACCATGATCTCCTGGTTCATAGTCAACGCTCAACCACTGAGCCACTGTCCTACCTCTATTTTTAAAATTCTGTCTCTGTTATCATTTCTCTTCCACTTACAAACTTTATGTAGAACAACTAGCTTTTTAGAGAGATGCCCTACTAACGAGGGCTTTTTCCCCTGACCATAATGTATTATGCATCTGTTAAAAAGAATGAGAAAAGGTTATATACTGACAGAAAGACATGCAGTGTAATTGATTAAATGAAAACAAAAAACAAACAAAAAAATACAAAACACACACAAATCCTTAAGATGTATTACTAAATGATACTTATTAGTTCACCCATAGAAAAGTTGAAATATCTAATAAACTGACGATATAAAAAATGGGAATTTTGGAGAAATTTTTGTTATGTATTTTTACAATGTATAAAGTTAACACAACTCTATGTATGTTATTTATAATCAGAACTGAAATTTAAATACAGTTGACCCATGAACAACACAGTTTTAAACTGCATAGGTTCAGAACCAAGATGGCGGCGTAAAGTATAGACCTGTGCGTGCTGCCTCCCACAACAACATTGAAACTACCAACTATAAGACAAACAGCTATCATTCAGAACCATGGGAAAGCTGGCCCAGTGGAAGTTCTACAACTGGAAGGAAAGAAAGAAGCGCATTGAGACTGAGTAGGATATGCAGAGGTGCCAAGAACAGAGGTATGGAGTTGTGCGCCAGGCGGGCTGCAACTGGACGCGCGGTTTTATTCAATTGGAAGGGGTTACAAACTCTCGAATCCACTGAGCTTGTTTGGGGCGGGATTCTGAGGTCCCAGACCCCTACGGGGAGAGGCGGGACGGCCTTGCAGTAGGTCGGAAAGCGGGGGTGGCTCTCTCGCGGAGCTGCTCACCGGCACTCGGGGACACGAAGTCGCGGAGAGGCGAGGAATTGCGGAGACGCCATTGCTGCTTGCTCCACCCTGGTGATTCCCTGAGACCCCGCCCTACTCAATTTATATCCCCGCCCAAGCTGTGCCAGTGGCACAAAAGGAACCACCTGCGCTTTTGCAGCTTAACCCAACAAACTGCAGATTTCAACTCCTCGCACCCATAAGGGACACACTCAAGAAACAGACTCAGGTTCAGAGGAAGCCGGAGCTGGATCCGGCTGGGCCAGTGACATGGAACCACTGTACCAACAAACGCGCAAGCAGGTCCACCGGATCCAGTCTCACATGGGACACCGGGAGACGGCAGACAAGCAGTCTGTGCACTTAGTAGAAAACGAAACCCAAGCAAGCACACCAGATATTCAGCCAGCTAGAACGCCTGGAGATTTTGTCCAGCAAGGAGCCTCCCAACAAAAGACAGAATGCCAAACTTCGTGTTGACCAGTTAAAGTATGATGTCCAGCACCTGCAGACGGCTCTCAGAAACTTCCAGCAGGAGAGACAGCGAGAGGAGCTTCTGACTCACACCTCCACCACCAACGTGGGATGCGGCGCCCCATGCGAGGCTGCGGCGCCCCATGCGAGGCTGCGGTGCCCCCTGCGAGGCTGTGACGGCCCCTTTGAGGCTGAGACGGCCCCTGGGAAGCCGGTGGAACCGCGCAAGCCGCCCAGACAGCTTCGTCTATGGCCCGCGAACCAGCGCGCAGCCCCAAGCACAACTATCACCCGAAGGGCGAGAGGGGCGAGAGCAGCTGTAGTGTTGCTTTCTCCTCACTTTTGGTAACGAAATCCTCATTTTAAACATAAGAGGACACATTATTTTAAAAAGCCGTTACGTGTCTCCGTACCCTTTCTGAGTAGAGCGTGAACAAGTCGTGAGAGACCTTTCCGAACACAGGGACAAGTCGCAGATGGAAATAGCTATATTTTCCATGTGTATGACCTTTGACCTGGCAACAAAAAGCGTACACCTATGGACGAGGACAGTGGGGGGGAGGGGGGGGTGGTAAGGGCAGAGGGTGGGGTGGAAACTGGGTGGAGGGGAGCTATGGGGGGAAAAAAGGGGAAAAACTGTAATAATCTGAACAATAAAGATTTATTAAAAAAAAAAAAAAAAGAATAAAATAAATAAATAAATAAACTGCATAGGTTCACTATACACCAGCGGTTCTCAACCTGTGGGTCGAGACCCCTTTGGCATTGAACAACCCTTTCACAGGGGTCGCCTAAGACCATCCTGTATATCAGATATTTACATTACGATTCATAACAGTAGCAACATTACAGTTATGAAGTAGCAACGAAAATAATTTTATGGTTGGGTCACAACATGAGTAACTGTATTTAAAGGGCCAGAAGGTTGAGAACCACTGCACACGGTTATTTTTCAATAAACATATGGTTGGCCCTGTATCCTCAGGTTTTGTATCCAAAGATGCAGAGGGTCAAATGTATGCATAGTTCTATGCCAGTTTATACAAGGGCCTTGAGCATCTGTGGCTATTGATATGGGGGCATGTGCTAGAACCAATCCTTCATTGAGGGACAACTACACAGTAGAAAAGTTTTGAGGGAGTCAAAAGTTTTCACTTCACAGGGTTGGCATGTTTTTCAAGGGTCAACTGTATATAGTTTTGCATGTTAGTAACTAGTTATTATTCACTGAATGCCTGCTATGTGCCACATGACTTATGTCTCATTTAATTTTCACCGCATCACTATGAGTAGGCTTCATTATGCTTGATTTACAAATAGAGAAACCTGAGCCTCAGGGTCCAGGGAGGCTAGGGAACTTACAAAAGATCACACTGGGTGACACAGCTAAACCTCAAAGATATTTGATTCCAAAATTAGCTCACTTTTCACAGTGTCATACTGCTTTCCATAATTCTTAAAAAAAAAACACAGTAGGGCATAACAAGGTTCTAGGATGTCTCTAATACACAGTTTTCCATCATGTAATGTTTATACTTTACAAGTAAAATTACATTAATAGACTTTCACAGACCCAAAAGGTTACTGTTTATTTATTACACGTGATCTTATGTACTTCACTTTTCAGTTATTATCCGTCAGATAGCAATGTTGTTTAGAATAATAATTCTACACATAAAGGATGTGAGACATTTTTCTTACATAGCATCAACTGCAACACTGCTGAGAAAATCTGTTTGACATAAAAAAACCCCACCATATATACATACTATAAGCTCAGGCAGTATGTATAATCAACAAACCAGAATACATATCAACAAAGCAAAGGCTGGTTTTTTGAAAAGATGAAACTGATAAGTCCCTAGCATGACTGAAAAAATTATTAAGCGATGTCAGAAGTGGAAAAATGAACACCACTACAGACCCTGTAGACATTAAAAAAATAATATTCATTCAAGGTGACTATTAACAGTGTCCTGTAAAAATACAAAGAAGATAACCCCCCAAAGTATGGCTTACTGCTTTGTAGCACTTTTAATCAGTTTATTCTAGCAACCTTATTTAAGCATTTTTTTTTTCTCTAACATTCATTACTATACTAGCCTGTCTCTCCTATTCTTTGAATCATCTTTAGCATCCTGCTACTTTCCTCATTATTTATTTAATATATTTTTATTGATTTCAGATAGAAGGGAGAGATAGAACATCAATGATGAGAGAGAATCATTGATCAGCTGCCTCCTGTACTGGGGATTGAGACCACAACCAGGCATGTGCCCTTGACCAGAATCGAACCCAGGACCCTTCAGTCCACACGCCGGCACTCTATTCACTGAGCCAAACCAGCTAGGGCAGTTATTTAAATAAATATTTGGCATATCTCATTTATACAAATAGTATAAACTAAGAAGAGGGGAATTTCATTAATTTGGTAATCTACAAAAAAGTAAATATAATAATGAATTATGAAAAGCTCCATTCACTGAACGATTGCAAATAAGTCAAGAATACATGCTATCATTCCTTTTATTCAAAACCATTCTGGAGGACTAGCTATCACAAGGTAAGAAAAAAATGAGACACAAGGATTGAAAAGAAAAATGGTCATTATTCACTGAGGATATGACTGTACAAGAAAACCCACAAAATCCACCAACAAATATGAAAATTAATAAGGAAATTTAGCAAGGCTGCTGAATATGAGGGCCAATACACAAAAATATTTTTTCTCTACATTAATAATAAAGAGAAAATAAAATTTCAACAGGATCCCATTTAAAATAGCTTAAAAATCAATTAGCTAGAAGTTTAATGAAAGATGTGCAAGACTGAAAATTATATTACTGAGAGAAATTAAAGAAGACCCAAGTAAGTGGAGGCAAGACCATGCTCTTGGTGACTCAATAGTGAAAAGATGTCACTTCTCCCCAAATGGATCTAAAGCAATACTGTCTAATGAAAATATGAGACTCACACATGTAATTTAAAAATTTCTAACAGCCACATTAAAAAAATAAAAAATTGTTAAAATTAATTTTAATAATATGTATTTGTAAAACTAATACTAGTATATCCAAAGTATTATCATTTTAACATGTAATTAATAGATATATATTAATGAATATCTTGCTCTTGGGGGTACTAAATCTTCAGATCAGTGTACATTTTATGCTTATAGCACATGTGAATTTGGACTAGCCACATTTTTTGCACTCAGTAGTCACATGTGACTAGTGGTTACATATTGGACAGTGCAGATCCAGAGAGTCAATGTAATCATAATAAAAATCGCAGCAGATATTTTTGTGGACAACAATATGCTGATTCCAAAAGGTGCCTGGCAAGTCCAAGGACCAAGAACAGCAAAGGTAACCTTGAAGAACAAAACTGACAAACAAACATCACCAATTAATAAGACGTATTATAAAACTACACTGAGATAATGTGGTGTTGGTCTAAGTACACAGAAATATATCAATTAAACAGAATATGAGTCCAGAAACATATCTAGTCTCCTGACCATGATAAAGGTGACTACAGGGCCCTGGGAAAAGAATGGTCTTTTTATTAAATGGTGCTGGGTCAATAAGATATCCTCTGGGGGAAAAAATGGATCTTGACTCTTAAAACACTAGGATACAAAAATCAATTCTAGACAGGCTGTAGATCTAAATGGGAAATAAAAAGGTAAATCTTTTAAAAGAAAACATGGGAAAATGTTTTCATAACATTGAGAATAATAAGCAGACTACTTAGGCAGGACATGTCAAACGACTGATAAAGGAAAAATGGATAACCGAGACTAAAAATGATGTGCTTACTTCCTCTTGATGGAAGGTAGGTGGCAATGTTGGTGAAGGTGCAAAAGGAGGTGGAGAGATAACCTTCCTTTCCTCTAGTTGGGCCATTATTTCCTTTCGTCTTCGATGTAGCTCATCTAGACTAGGGTGGGGCTGGGGAGGAGGAGGAAGCCGGCTATAAGGAGGCTCCTGAAAATGCAAAAATTGAAAAGAACTTCAGAACACACTAACTTATTTAGCACATTATTTTAAATAAGCTTATTTAACATTTGGAAATACCAACATCTAAAACAAAGCAAAACAAATCCCCCCCGCCCCCCCCAAATTCTCAGGATTTCCCAAAGAGCTAAATTTAAGTTTCTCTTTTTGGTCAGAGGCCATAATTTCCAAATAGATCTAGAATTGCTAATAAAACCATCTAAAGTTCAGAAACTAAGAAGGGTTATTAGTGAGAGTGGGGTGGGAATTTTTTCCCCTTTAATCGTTTAATTTAAAACAAAAACCTACCCAAATTATGACAAGATGAAAAATAAGGGCATGCTTAATTTTATTTTTTAAAACAGATGTTCCACCAGCGGTTCTCAACCTGTGGGTCGCGAACAATGAAAATACATCCTGCATATTGGATATTTACATTATGATTCATAACAGTAGCAAAATTACAGTTATGAAGTAGCAATGAAAATAATTTTATGGTTGGGGGTCACTACAACATGAGGAACTGTATTAAAGGGTTGCGGCATTAGGAAGGTTGAGAACCACTTTTAAAATAAGTAAATTAAATCTATGTAATAAGAAAAAAACACAGCATACTCTGATGTACGAAGGTCTGATCTGAGTTGGATGAGGAGCCACTGGATAGTAACCCTCCACCTGTTGGTATCTTTCTCTGGATTCTGGTATATAGGATGGTACTGCTGCAGGTGGAATCTCAATGGGTATAGGACTTTCTCGGAAAATCTCCTCTCTTGGATAAGATTGAGCAGGGTATACTCGACGGCCATCATAGTGTGGTGGGTACATAGGTGGGTACTGTTGTGGCTGTGTGCCATATTGAGAGTTTACAACACGATCTTGGAGGTAGGGTGGGTAATGATCCAAGTAGGGAGGACCAGGCTCAGGAGCAGATGGTGGCGGTCGGACAAAGCGGGACACACACGGTGGCGCAGTGTAGTACACACCTGTACATTACAGAAAAGCAACCAGAGCAACAATGAGCTAAACTAACTTTCTATCTAAGTCTTTGTCCATTAAAATATTTCAACACTAAATAATTAACAACTCATTTCTTTAGATATTTTCCCTCTGCTATGTACTCAGATTAACTTTATGAAAAATAACATGTAAAAATTGTCCTTAAAAGTGACAATTAAATTGACCTGAAAAAAACTAATTTAGAATCTACAATAGATTGGCTCTCTTAACTGTTTGACTGTCTTTCAGATGTGCCTTAACACAATGCAAACATTGGAAAGCAAAAGACTACATTTCCCTGAAGCTCAGGTTGCACAAATCACTCATTTGCATGAGTTCTGAATGTGCCACTGTGTTACCTGGAAGGAGATCTGGTGCAAACCTAGCAGCTTCCCAATTTCCAGACTTTTGCCTCAAGTGATGTGATTCTGGAGCTAGCAGTTAAGGATATAAGTTTCCAATTTTCATTGCTTCTTCACTAAAACAGGTTCTTTCAGCAGCTAGTTCTGGGACTTATTCCTGCAGGCCTAGCTTAAACCTGCTTTTCCAGAACTTTCCATTTATTTTATAAACACCTAACTTCATGCACTGAACCTCTTTCTGCTAACTATTGAACCCTAACTGGTACACTGTATTTAAGGTCACTGCAACAAAAGTAGTTGGGTTTTTCCGACAATGGATGGTCAAAAGAAAGATACAAACCAATTTTTATCATATTTTCATATATATTAATAATGCTGTATCAATTTAAAGCTATCCTTTCAAAAGCAGAGAAGTCAATTCTGACTCACAATGGAGACAGCCTTGGGAAAAGGCAATGGAAAACACCTTTAATCTATCCCTGTTTAAAAATAACAGCACTAGCCCTGACTGGTTTGGCTCAGTGGATAGAGCGTTGGCCTGCAGACTGAAGGGTCCCGGGTTTGATTCCGGTCGGGGGCATGTGCCTTGGTTGTGGGCACATCCCCAGTGGGGGGTGGGGGTGGGGGTGGGTGCTGGAGGCAGCTGATTGGTGTTTCTCTCTCATTGATGTTTCTAGCTCTCTGTCCCTCTTCCTTCCTCTCTATAAGGAATCAACAGAATATATATATATATATATATATTTTTTTTTAAATATATTTTATTGATTTTCTACAGAGAGGAAGGGAGAGGGACAGAGAGTCAGAAACATCGATGAGAGAGAAACATCGATCAGCTGCCTCCTGCACACCCCCCTTTGGGGATGTGCCCGCAACCACAGTACATGCCCTTGATGGGACTCAAACCTGGGACCCTTCAGTCCGCAGGCCGACGCTCTATCCACTGAGCCAAACCGGTTAGGGCCAGAATATATTTTTTAAAAAAAGATTTTAAAAAAATAACAGCACTATTAAAAAATTTAAATTAAAAACACACACACACACACACACACAGAATAAGCTGTTAAAAAAATAACAGCACTATACTATTTACAAATAGGAGGTTTATGGCAACCCTGAGAGGAGCAAGTCTATCGGTGCCATTTTTCCAACAGGCCCAGATGACAGGGGCAGCATTTTACCAATAAAGTATTTTTAAATTAAGGTATGCATATTTTTAGACATAATGCTATTGCACACATTAATAGACTATAGTATAGTGTAAACATAACTATTATATTTACTGGGAAACATAAACGTTCGTGGGATCGAGTCTGAGACCTGAAATTGAACCGATGACTTCCTGGTTCATGGGTTGTCACTCAACCACTGGGCTACACCAGCCGGGCACAGTTTTCTATTTTTTAATTTTTTGTATTTTTACTGATTTCAGAAAGGAAGGGAGAGGGAGAGTGAGATAGAAACATCAACGAAGAGAGAGAATCATTGATGGCTGCTTCCTGCACGCCCCCGAGCAGGGACCCAGCCTGCAGCCCAGGCATGTGCCCTTGATGGGAATCGAAACTGGAACCCTTCAGTCCACAGGCCAACGCTCTATCCACTGAGCCAAACCGGCTAGTGCATGTATGCTGCCTTTTTCATATACACTACAGGACCCAGAAAAATAGATAACTGAAAGGAAGAAAAATATACTGTATTTAATTTATACACACTGTAATAATAAATTTTTTCATGTTTGAAGAAAATTTTGGTCAGGATAATATATACTGCCTTAGCAAATTTCCATTGTTTACTTGGGTGACTAGTTATTTCCATAAATATAGGGGTGGGCAAAAGTAGGTATACAGTTGTGAGTATATAAAACACTTTATTCTTATATTATTATTTATTAATCATTGTATTATTTATTTGTATAACAACTGTAAACCTACTTTTTCCAACCCCTGTATATGAACATATTTAACATACAACTGCTTTTAGTAGTTAAGGCAATTTTCTTTTATAGCTTTGTTACTTCACTTAATTTATACTATTTAACTGATAAAATCTGTTTTCCCCAAAGTATTAAGAAATACACTTATCTTAAGGAGGCTACTGCAAATATAATCATTCTTACCTGGAATCGTTCCCACAAATCCTAAGAAAAGTGAGCGCAATAAAGGAAAGATCATTACCCTGCTGATAAGGTGCTGGTTCAAATGGTGGCGCGGCTCCTCGAGGATCCTGATAATACACGTCTGCCTGCTGGGCGGGATATAACTGCGAACCCCGCGGTACCATCTGCATTGGTTTAGTGACAGGCATGGGAGGCAGGTCTGATGGCCCCCTTGGAGGTACAGGATGTGGAATACTCTTGGGGACAGATTCTAGCCTATGGGAATAAAATTCTGCAAGTCAAGTTTAAGGTCTCGAAATGTACATAAATTATTAAATATAAAAAAAACTGCCACAATTTGGGAAACTATTTTCTTCTGATAGTTATACTTTCTATAAAATGTATAAAATGTGATCTTATTTCACTTATGCTTTCTTAAAAATCAAGTAACAGAAGAAATAGAAATAAAAAAACAACAACAAAATGGCCAAAAATTTAGTCTAAAAAACTGATTATTCTTCCTTTCCTCTACTTTGTATTTATAAAGAAGAAATTTTAAAATAAAAGTTAGGAAAATGACGTACAGGTCAGGAGGGGATCCAGGGGCACTGTTGCTCAGATGATCCATCTTTCCTGGTTTCAGAGTAGAATCGTAGTTGGGGTCTGTTCCTCGTGGAATCAGCTGAGTTACTGTGTTCCCTGCTGACACAATCCCATTGGGCAGAGAAGGGGGTTTTCTGCTCGGCAGATCGACCGCACCTTCGTCAGGAAGGATAGCTGCTGAAGGCAGGCCCACCTCATTAAGCTGACCCATAGAGGCACTCAAGGGTCTTCTGGGACCCAGGCGTTTGTTCATTTTACGAAATCTATGTAAAGAGCAAAGGCACACACCAAATTCAAAATTACAAAAGCAAAACCAAGAACACAAATTCATTTAAGAAACAGATACAAAAGTTAAAAGATTCCAAACACACTGTTTTCTAGAAATTCTCTTCAAACATTGGCTTTAGCTATAAATTTGAGAATGTGCTTGTGTGGCTATATCCAAGCTCATTTTATGAGGCCAATATTATCCTAATTCCAAAACCAGATAAAGACAATACAAAGAAATAAAATTATAGGCCTATATAAAATCTCAAGCAAGACATACTGATTAAATATAAAATTCCTCATAATATTTGTAACATTACAAATCATGCTAATTAAGCCCAGCTAGTGTGAGTCAGTGGTTGAGTGTCAACCTATGAACTAGGAGTTCATGGCTTGATTCACAGTCAGGGCACATGCCCGGGTTTCGGGCTTGATCCCCAGTAGGGGGGTGTGGAGGAGGCAGTCAATCAATGATTATCTCTCATCATTGATGTTTCTATCTTTCTCTCCCTCTCCCTTCCTCTCTGAAATCAATAAAAATAATTTTAAGAAAATTATGCTAATTAATATTTGTATTAATATAACTATGTTATTTTCATTGAAATTTCTACTTCTAAAATTTTTGAAGGAGAGGGTAGAAAAAGCCTTAAAGGATAGTGTTCTGAATAATTTTATCTTAGGTGCTCCTCAAATGCCTTGGGATACAGTGAACCTATATTATAAATGAAGAATAAAACAAAAGGCCAGTGTGCACTGAGAAAAATTTACTATTTATTTCATTAAAATATTTAAATAATCAAGAATTGTAATTTGTATCAGATCTGATGCTGATTATAAGTGTGCCTATGTAAAACTGAAATTATTTCAAAATGGGGTTAATGGAAATCATGTAGAATAATGCCTAAATTTAAAACAGACACTGTAGTATAAAAGGCTTGTAGATTCTAAATCTAACCACAGGATAAAAATTAAGTCATCAAACTCCAGTATCCTTGTTCATCAACAATGAAAGCAAATCTATTCACAACTATCTAGTGCATTTAAAAAAAGTGCAAACACAAGCCCCCAACACAGTAATGCTATTTTTTCAAATGTTTCCCATATCTGACAAATTTCTAGGGGGAAAAAAATCTACCCATCAGGGGTAACCACTGATAACAGTTTGGTATATAATCATACAGATTTTTCCTCCATATCCTGTCTTAATATTCGTATGTTCATAAGATTACTGTTTACAGAAATAGGGTCATATATGACTGCTTAGTAATTTTTTTCTCTACTTCACAATCCTGGCTATTCCTTTAAGTCAGTACATTTTAAGTTATTCCTAACTTATTTTTGCTGTTAAAACAATGTAGTAATGAATAATTATATACATGTATTTGCACCCTTGTGTGAGTAACTGGAAGCAGACTTGCTAAGTCTCGTGTATGCACATTAGAAACTGTTTTAATGCTCCAAAACTATTATCACGCCTACTGATAATGTCTTTTTTCAGTCATCAAACACTGGGTAGTATCAGTCTTTGTTAACTGATAGTTCAAAAATTCCAAGTTTTGTTTATATTTGCATTCTTTAGCAATTAGTGAAGTTGAACAGAGTTTTACAAGTTTATTGGCAATGAGTATTCTTCCACTTTGCTCATTTATCTTCATATTCCATCTTTCCACTGGTTCTTCATTCTTACACATTTATAGGAGCTCATTCTAGATTAGGGATTATCAGCCCTTGTATATCATTTCCCCACTAATCTTTTTTCTTTCAATTGTGGTGTTTAGGACATATCTTAGTTTTTAATTTTTATATAATCAAATTTATAAATCTTCTTTATGGGTGCTGGGTTGTCATGTTTCAAAAATCCTTTCCTACTATAAAATTATGTAACAACAACAAAAATCTCTAAATACTCTATGGTTTCCTTCTTAAATATTTAAATCTCGGATACATTTATAATTCATTTTGGTATAAAGATAAGAACCAGCTGCAACTATTTTTCCAAAAGGATAGTAGTTATTTCATCATCTTTTTTATTACTGACATAAAATGCCTCCTTTGGCACGTATGCCCATGTATCTGGAACTCCTTCTAGATTTTATATTATAGTTCATTGATCTATCTATTTCTATGCTTACACCATAGCATTTATATTCATTTTAGCTCATAATACTGGCGAATAGTTACTAGTTTAGTTCCTTTTTTCAGAATTTTCATGGCTATTTGCATATTACTGTTTAAAATACAATTACTGTTTAAAATACAACAAAACCTTTATAATGCCCAGTCTTACCTAAAAATATAGTATTCTTCATTTATCATTTCTTCCTTTATGTTCCTAGCTAGTCTACTAATTCAATTAATATAGATACTGAATATTTCTTATTACTTTATTACTTGGTATTTGTCTTTTTGTTGTTGTTAATGCAAAAGGAATCATTAATTTCACTTTACTGATTTATATGACAGCAAGTCATTTAAAAATTTTTCTGATTTGCCACCTCACTAAACTCATTTCTTTAGCTTCCAGTAGTTTTCTTGAATTGCTCCATGTAATCATTTTAGGCCTGTTTTACTCCTACATACATTTGTTACTACTTCCAGGACATTAAATAAAAGTTTTGCTAGTAGAAAATTTTGCTTTACTCTTAATTTAAATGAGACTGCATCTAATTAGTTATAATTAATTATACTAATTAAGTATGATACTATCATGCTGGCTTTTATATATGTTATTATTGTATTGATAAGGAATTTTGATCTATTATGGACACTGGGTTTTATTCAAATGCCTTTTGGAATCTTTGGATATGACCACAAGGTATTTCTTTTCTAACCTTAGTAACTAATATTGTGCTACCTTTGTCGTTAGCCATGGCATCTATTTTAATGCATTATTGAATTCTAATTTTAGTATTTGAAATTTAAGAAATATTAATATACAAGATAAATTTGTAGTTTAATTGTGCTGTGTTTATCAAAGTTAGTATTACTGGTTTTATAAAAAAGATTAAAAGGTTTTTCTTTCTATTATGTGCTGGAAAATTTAATATCATTGGAATTATTTGGTCCTTGAAATTTAAATTAAACCTGTGATATTGAACCTGGAAATAAAATAACTCCTTTAATAGAACAAAGGGCCAATTTTTCCATTGGTAATGCACTATTCAATTAGTTAAAGTCAGTTAAAACTGATGAAAATTCTTAGAACTTTCATTTTTTTTGATAGTTACAATGACTCACTTCTAGGTTTGGCTAACCATAAAATAGTTTCCTATTTTTAGGCACAATATAATGAAAGCTGAAAAAACTGATTCATTTTCTTTTTTAAAATTCTGCATTACTTTCTAAACATTTCCTGTTCATTAAAGAGAATGCACCTACTCTCCTTGTATTTCTCAATGGCAGAAAGTTATTCTACTTAATAATTCAACCTTATCTACTAGAAAGCTGAGTTTAATGCCTTTCTCACTTACTTTTCCAGTTCCTCCTGGGAGTGTGCAAATGTACAGCTGGCCCCACGAGGGCATCCTCCTCTCTGCTTCATATCTCGACACATGTATGTTTTATATTTGCTATGCTGTGGAGGCTAAGACCAAAATTGAAACATTAGACATTAGAAACAAATGGAAAATTTTCACTGCCATTTTAGGATCTTGGTAATCTAGATAAACAATTCAGATTGATGCACACACTTAGCTAGACTACCGAGAGCAAAAGTGCTGGGAAGTCATCCTGTCTGAAGTCTCAGCGTCCCCCCCAAAATAAATTAATTAAAAAGAATGCATCCAAATTTTCTGATATGTTCTCAAACATGCACCATCTCATAAATTCTTGATTAAGCCTCAAGGGGGCTCTATGATCTTCTTTCTAGGTTTTGTAATAAAAGACATAAACCATTGGAGTTTAGGACTTTCAAATGTTTAAACTGTGTTCTAATATTTCTTTTGAACAATGTGTAGGATAGTATACTTAAAATTATGTTTATTTATAACATAACACAAAATTTACAATAGGCCCTATAACTGAAAAATATTCTGTAACCTATTCTTTTTTTTTTTTTTTTTAAATATATTTTATTGATTTTCTACAGAGAGGAAGGGAGAGGGATAGAGAGTTAGAAACATCGATGAGAGAGAAACATCGACCAGCCGCCTCCTGCACACCCCCCACTGGGGATGTGCCCACAACCGAGGTACATGCCCTTGACCGGAACCGAACCTGGGACCCTTGAGTCCGCAGGCCGACGCTCTATCCACTGAGCCAAACCGGTTTGGCCTGTAACCTATTCTTAACATATAGACTATTCAGTGATGGCGAACCTTTAGAGCTCGGCGTGTCAGCATTTTGAAAAACCCTAACTTAACTCTGGTGCCGTGTCACATATAGAAATTTTTTGATATTTGCAACCATAGTAAAACAAAGATTTATATTTTTGATATTTATTTTATATATTTAAATGCCATTTAACAAAGAAAAATCAACCAAAAAAGTGAGTTTGTGTGTCACCTCTGACATGCGTGTCATAGGTTCGCCATCACTGGATTATATCAAAGACTTTACATAGCTCCAAAGGTACAAAGGAAACATTATTTACAACTCAGTGATAAGGCAGGACAACGAATTTGGGAGTTAATATCAAACACATTACTAAGTGAAATGATATTTAATGTATTTTATCACCTACTGGCAGAATTTCAAGGTTATTCTTACTATTTTTGTGACATTCTTCATGTCTAATGGAATAGGGAGTTAAAATAGGTTTTAATTTCTTTTATTTCTGAATCAAAACAATGTTCTGATCTGTTCTTAAATTGATTAGGATAAATATATCCATATTATTCTACTTGGGACAGTTTTAATATTTCTTATCTCCCAAAGACAATAAGAATAGTAAATCATTATTGTTAATATTTACCTGAGCCAGATGAATTAAAAACAAAGTTTTAATTTCTCAAGTTTACTATTGAAAAATAAAAGATCTAGCGAACCTAACATAAAACTTAAGAACAAAATAAAATTTTGGGGAATAAAATGAAAAACTCTAGCCACATGATCTATTATATTTTAGTGCCATAAATTTCATTTTAAAATATTTGAGGAAAATTTGGCCCAATGGCATAACGGATATTATGAATGAAAAATGTTAAAATACTAATATAGAAAAAGCATGTACAAATGTGTGAAGAGTACTGGAGAGATGTAGCATTAGCACTAAAAAGTGATACCTGTGGTCCGACAGAGATGTAATAGTAACCAAAGAGAATAATTTAATTTAAATTGAATAAACTTTGGCACAGAATCAAATGCTGCTATATCCAATGTGAACAGTGAGTCCAGTACATTATTTCATTCAATGTTGTCACATAAAATTGCTAGGCTAATCCAGGAAACTGGCTGCTAACCACACTAGCTTACTGTATTGTTTCTATAGTCAGAGCTTTAAACTGCTCATGCTACCTCACTGGCTGTGTCTCTTACCTGCTGTTGATCTGCTCCTTTCTTGCTGTGGTTCTGGATGTAATCAACCAGCCCATGTACCACTGTACGCACAGCAACCAGTCCATTTTCTAGCTGTTCCCAAGTAGGAGGAGGAGCATCTACACAACAAATAAAAATAATTTTTTTAAACAATGTTATCCCATGCTTTGCTCAGTATTAAATTAATAAAGGAGATGTGTCAGTTCTTCAGTGAAATCAACTTAAGCTTCAGGTAATAATAGCTTGTTCTCTTAAACATCATTTTAAAGAAACAGATATATCCTTCTAAATCTGGAGCTGTAAACTAAAATAGCTATAAGGACAAGGAAGGTAATATAAGGGAATTAAGTAGGCCAGACAATAAATGGCAACTGTCAACAGATGCTTAATTTTGGAAATGACAACAGATAAAGACAGGAACTGTGTTGAAATGTAGAATATGTTTCACATCTAAGGCCATGGTTACTATTAAACCTTAGCTGATGGTTATTATGTGAAAATGCAAGGCTGGCCCTGCCAGATACACCACACAGTTTCCCAGGGAAAGGTGAAATTTGAGATTTTTCATGTAAAGTTACCCAGTTTTTATGTGTTGGTATCTAAAAAATTTACAATATTTTCAGGCCATCACTGTGTGTACCAAACAAAGCTTAACTGTGGATTGTCTGCAGGCAACTAATTTGTAATGACTATTTTGAAATTCTGTATAAATGAAGTATTGGTAAACAGAATATTTTTAAAGTTTCACAGAAGAGCTAATATATAAAGCTACTATACATCCTCTTCATTTAGTAAGTTATTTGTCCAGGGCCAGCATTGAGATTTTATAAAGGAAAAATTAACCACAGGGTTTAATACGAAATATTCTTTAAAAGGAATACAAAATGAGAACACAGATGCAGATATGACTTCTGTTGGGAGACATTCTGAAAGATTTAGGTGATGGCATCTAAAATAGGCTTTGAAGGAGACAGGGAATTTTAACAACAACAAAAGGATGAAGATACAGAGAACGTAAAGAGAATAGTCACACAAAAAAGTATTTTTTTTTTTTTAACTTCTAATTCCCGGGAGTGTTCTCATTGCTGGGGAAGTAGTAGCAACCAAAACAAAAATCCCTGTTGTATTCAAGGAGAGGAGCCAGACAATAGATGAGATGAATAACCAAAATACAAAGTATTTTGATAATAATGAATTAAATAAGTAAAGGAGGGGAGTGAGACCGGTACAGGTATGTGTAAAGTTTCAGACAGGGTAGCCTGAGAAGGCGTCCTTGAGAAGGTTACATTTAACCAAAGACATGAAAGAAAGGTTGATATACTAGGAGAAAAATATTCTAGGGAAAGAGGCAATCCAAAGCCGCTGTGAGAGTACGCCTGGCCTGTATGTGGAGCTGAAACCAGAAAGAAGTTAAGTTGGAGAGAGGAAGAGAAAGGTAAAGGAAGACCAGATCTTGGGAGGCCTGGTAAGTCATGGAAAAGATTTTGGCTTTTATTGATTGACGAAGATCCTGAAGAATTTTGAACAGAGGGGTAACAGAATCACTCTGGCGCCTATGCTCAAACCAGACAGACAACAGGAGGCTATTCTATAGTCCATGAAGAGAGATAAGGGTGGTAGAAGGGAAAGTGATAAGTAGGTAGATTCTGAATGGATTTTACAGGATATGCTGATGGAGCAGATATACCTTATGAAGGAAAGATAAGTTGAAGATGATATCACCAAGGTCTTTAGACTGAGGAAATGGAAGACCAGAATTGCCACTAACTGGAATGGGGGTGGGGTGGAGGCTTGGAACTCACTTTTCAACTGATTAAGTTCGAAATTCCTGATAGTCAGAGAGGTTGGAATGTTGAATGTTGAGCAGGCAGGTGAATATACAAAAGAATTCTGGAAGAAGGTGTGGGCTGGAGATATTATGTTTCACAGATCCTAAAATACCATCAATTATAACATACACAAACCAGTATTTTATGTGACCCCATAATTAAAAAAGACTGCTAATTAAGTTATCACATGTCACAGCTTGTTCAAATGCATCCCAATTCAGAAATGCTAAGATCTGTAAAAAAACAACTGTAGGCTTCAGAACTGGTGAAATATAGTAAATTCATGATATATATATATATAATATTTAAAGTCATGAGACTTTAAATAATATTTCAAGCACATTCTAGGGAATAGGTATAAATAAAAACCAAAAGAGACACAAAGATTAAACTCTAGAAGCACTCTAAAAATTAGAGGGGGGGGTGGGTGGGTGGTTAGAAGCTATGGAGAGGAGGAGAAACCAGCAACGGAGGCTGAGAAGGAGGATCCTATAAAGAAAGAAGGAAACTAGGAGAGTGGTGGCCTGAATTCAAGTGAAAAAAGTGTTGCATAAAGTGAAGTAAACAACGTTAAATGCTGCTAATAGTTCAAATACAATGAGTATCAAGAGCTGATGTCAGCTATGTGGAAGTCACTTGTAACCGTGACAAAAGCACACTGAATTAAGTGGTAGAGATAAATGCCTGGCTACAGTGAGCTCAAGGGAGTGCTATAAAAAGGAGAGAAATAGAGAAATGAGTGGAAGGTGGATAGCAAATGGTGTCAAAAGTGTGTTACAATCAGAGCAATAATAGTATATTTGTATGCTGATAGAAATACTCCAGGAGAGAAGAAAAACTGGTGATAGAAACAAGTCTGTCTGGAAGGACAGCCTTGACAAGATGATATTAGTACAGGAGGAGAGAGGGTGGCCTTAGATGCAAGTACAGTTTATCCACTCTCACATGAGGAGCACAGACTCTACTGACACAGATGCAGGTAGATAGGCTGGGGGTTGATGGAGTGGTGAGCTTGTGAAAGTGCTCTTTTCATTGCTCAGAATGATCAGTGTGTGTAGTGGATCTCTGTGTTCTAGGAATAGGTCTGATCTGGTTTGATTAAGCAGTTTTGGTAGTAAATCTACAAAGGTAGATTGATAAAAATTAGAGAGCTCTGAATGCCACAGTCAGGATTTTGAAACCTCATTCAATAGGCTATCACTGAAAGTTTATGAATGTAGAAAGGAGAGATGTGATTTATTTTGTAGTAGTAAGTGGAATGGAAGGCATTCAATCTCAGGAAAAGGATTGAGGGAGGCCTCACTAAGACATATTAATATTAATGGGTATAAGATAAAGGGATATTGTGAAAGAAGAACAGATAGATCCTCTTGTCTGGAATGGTATGTAGAGCAAGTGAAAGGAAAAGATATGAAGTAACACAAAAGACTCAAGTTTTAAGCTCACATACCTCAAGAATGAAGTCATTTACAGAGAATGGGAAGACAGGAGGAAGAGTGGGTAATGAGTGAAAAAGAAATGAGGAGATAATGGTGAATCTCAGAAAATGGGTCTGGAGTAATGAAGAGAAAACAGTGATAGAGATATTTGGGAGTCTATTATCTATAAAGAGATAATACCTGATGCTGGGAATGAATGACCACCATCAACAGAGTGCAGAGAAAACAAAATTCCAAGAATACAACCAGCCAATACCTTAATGGGCAGGAGAGGAAAGAATGGTAAAAATAAGAGAGAACTAGCATTTAGGTCAGAAGAAAACCAAAAGACTACAGATATAAGCTATTATAAGAGTTTCTATATCAAGGAAGTAGTCAACATTATCAAATGCTGAAGACAAATCAAGTAATTTAAGGACTAAGAAGAAGCCTTTGGAATAAGAAACTGGGAGGTTACTAGTGAACGTTAAGAGGGTTTTATATCAGTAGTGGGAATAAACACAAGGACAACAATAGAATACAAGCTAAAATATCTCAGATGAAGTATTAGGTGAAAAATTAGGGTGATTTTCAGGTCAAGAAAGAACAGGAAAAGGGGTGAAAATAAGAGAGATATTTGATGGAATGAGATACAGAGAGGGAAAACATGGGACCAAAAAAACCACAATTAATGACATATGATTTAGAAAAAATGAGAAAACTTTAGTCAAAAAAGATGAGAATGGTAAAATACATCACAACTTGACAATGAGAGAAAAAAGAAACAAAGGATTCCAGAGAGAATCCTTTGCTGGTGAAATGAACAGCATAGTAAAAAGTATTAAATAAAAATTAGTTGAAATAATACAAAGAGACAGACAAGAATGGGAGCAGAACTTAAATACTGTAAAAAAATCTGGAATAGCCCATTCTGGGAATGGTAACAAAAAATAATTAAAAGAACCATTGAGCAGCACTGAGGCACACAGGACAGTCCATTAACATCCCTTGGGTTTACCTGGACTAGGGTCAATGTTTGCTAATAGCTCCAAATGGGGTCTTAGTCGGTTCAAATTTGCTGGATCTCCAGTCCGCTGGAGAGCAATTGTTAGTTCCTGGACACTTTGTGCAAAAGAGGCTGGAGTCTGCAACTTAAAAAAAGAAAAATATTAACTCTCCAAAGGCCAGATAATCCTTTGGGGGGGGGGGGGATTATTTACAATATCACAATCATTTTTGCAATTTATTAAATTTAATTTTATCCTTCCCCACATCCCGAGCTTTGGCCAGGTATGTATTGTGCCCTTACTTCCCTCTGCTATCACATTCCTTACATGTGAGACCTCTCTCAATTCTCAGTTTGGAAGTACTCTTTTATGTTCTTACAGTTTGACTGACCCTTGGGGTCCTTCCAAATAACTGAAATCTGGAAAGATAGTCTAGAAATAATGCTATACAAAGGACAGAACAATGAAACTGAACTTAATCTCAGTTTGAGTTCAAGTTTTGTTATAGACCAAAGATCATGACACAGGCTATAATCTTTACAGACTCTCTCTAAAAATCAATGGGGGAAAAATATCCTCAGGTGAGGATTAACAATAACAAAAACTATCATTACGAAAGTTTCAATATGTTATAATCAGTTAGTCGCATAATTTCAGACCTAAAAGTTGCAGGTAAAGTTTGGCTAAAGGTATCTAGGGGCCCTAGCCAGCTTGGTTCAGTGGATATAGCATTGGCCTGCGAACTGAAGATTTGCGGGTTTGATTCTGGTCAAGGGCATGCACCTTGGCTGCAGGCTTGATCCCTAGCCCTAGCTGGGGCACATGCAGGAGGCAACCAATCAATGTGTCTCTCTCACATCAAAGTTTCTCTCTTCCTCTCTCTCCCCCTCCTCCCTCCCTCCCACGCTCTCTAAAAATCAATAGGAAAATATCCTCATGTGAGGATAAACAACAAAAAAAGGTATCTAGGGAAGATTTATAGGACAGAACAAGTAATATATATCATATTGAAAATTTTGCACCAAGTAGTTATAAAACACATTTCCCAATTCTCCTTTAACATCAATCTTCTACTCATTCAAAGAATTCTATTTTGGGGAGTAGGAGAGAGAGGGAGAGGGAGAGGGAGAGGGAGAGGGAGAGGGAGAGGGGGGGAGAGAGAGAGAGAGAGAGAGAGAGAGAGAGAGAGAGAAAGAGACAGAGAAAAGCAGAGTAGCCCAGAAAGAGGCTTAGTGATTAAGAACATGGATTCTAGAGTCAGAATACCCTAGTTCAAATCCAGATCTGTCACTGGAGAAATATATTTAACCTCTTTATCTCTGTATAAAAGGGATGATAGATGGCTGTTGAGAAGACTAAATGAACTGTTTAAACCACCAGGCACATAGTAAGCTCTCAGTAAGTGTTAAATATTTGGGCAACATCTTGACCTTATTTCTCTCAGTTAATGGTTGGGTAACTCTAAGTATATCATCTCTATGGTTTTAAGTACATAAGGTAAAATAGTAAAAATTAAATTAAATACTATTATTGAACATAGTATATTTATAAGGTGTTTTTATAGCACTTTCATATATTTCATATTGAATTACAACACATTTATGGTCTGCTCCAGGTTGGTTTTTTTTTAGTGTGCTCCAGTTTTAAGAGAATTAAAATTTGCTCTTAGCCCTAAACGGTTTGGCTCAGTGGATAGAGCGTCCACCTGCGGACTGAAGGGTCCCAGGTTCAATTCCGGTCAAGGGCATGTACCTTGGTTGCGGGCACATCCCCAGTGGGGGGTGTGCGGGAGGCAGCTGATCGATGTTTCTCTCTCATCGATGTTTCTAACTGTCTGTCCCTCTCCCTTCCTCTCTGTAAAAAATCAATAAAATAAAATTAGCTTAGAGTCAGAAATAATGAGCCCGATCTAAAAATTCATGTGAACTCTAGTGATCTTTTTTTCATCATAACAAACAACATTAAGTAAAAATAAGTTTACTGAAAATTTGATCAAACTTAGAATGGTTGGTAAGTTATTATGTGAAATTTTTCTGCTGCCTATAATATGAAGCCTCAGTGTGTACATCTTCCAGACTTAAATGGCTGCTACAGGCAGACAATAAAGGCATTTAGGAAATGGGTTTGACTAACACAGTGAACAAAACTCAGAGAACAATAAAAGTAGGGAGAGAGGCAACGGTATAAAAGAAACGCCAGCCTCTCACAGAATGAGCGAATGTGGGCTGGAAAAAGCATTAAAACACTAATTAAATATTATATGAAAAATGTCAGTTATACCTCAATTTTAAAAAATCTTTATATTAGCAAACTGGTATATTGATGTGACTAGTTGCGACATGACACAGGACTATAGAGAATATAACTTAAATGAGTGTGACGTATAGTACTCACTTTAATACACACTCGTTAAATAAATGAATCACCCAAATTCCAGGATTACTGCAAGAATTCAGGAACAACAAAAGGGTCTACCTTGTCAATAATGGACTGCATATGAGATTTGTGAGACTGGTCTCCATAAAGCAAAGAGGACCACTGGTCTGGTGCGATTCGTAAGCCTGCTTCCATAGCAATCTGAACTATCTGGGAGTCATGCTCTCGCCGCAGAGCTTCATAGGTCCTGAATTCTTCTTTCAGTTGCATCAAAGAGGAATCTTCATCACGTTTGGTGACCTAACAAGACACACATAATCTCATTTTGAGTCAGGTAAGGAACAAAATGGGCTTATTCTTTGTAAGAGCATCTATGGATAACAGATAATTTTCTTTAAAAAAAAAAGTTTTTAATGATTTCAGAGAGAGGAAGGGAGAAGGAGAAATAGAAACATCGATGAAAGAGAAACACCAATTGGCTAGCTCCTGCACACCCCCTACTGGAGATCGAGCCTGAAACCCGGGAATGTGCCCTGACTTGGAACCAACCAGCGACCTCCTGGTGAAAGGGACAACATCCAACCAACTGAGCCACACTGGCTGGTCATAACAGATAATTTTTAATGTAACAAACAAATTTCTTATAGTAACAATAGCAAGGTTAAAATGGAGCACACCATTTTGCCAATAAAACACTTCCCCTTTTACAGATGTCAAAATCCCTGGAATGATATCAGAACAAAGAGCCAAATACAGCGTATTTCCTGCTTCAATGACTCTCTATCCAGACCAATTCTCCTTGTAGTCTTGGTGGAAAACTGAGCCAGCTTATTAGTCTCACCAAACAGAAAACTCTATAAGCCTTGGTTTGATCTATGTTGTTCAATATCTAATATACAAATTTAATACAAAAAGATTTAAGTTTAATAGGATGCCATCTGTATTCTTTAAAAGAAAAATTGCTAACTTTTCTGAAAAGACTCAGGCAACTTTATTAAACTAAAAGTTTTATTAATTGTTTAGGGAACGGATAATGTTTCCTTTAAGCTGTAATGTAACAGAGGTTCATACCTTGAAGCAGGAGGCTCTATACAGGAGCTGGACAACATGCCCAATGCTAGTTTTAGAGGCTTGAGGGAACCGTGGCTCTAACCTTTGCACCACAAAGAGAACCAATACTTTTCTTGACAAAGCAGAACCATCTTCTAAAGCCAGGAGAACCAACTTCAGAGCTTCCTCCTGCATTGCTAGGAAAGTTAGGCAAAATCAAAATTTATCATGTGCAGGGATAAGATAAATTCACTTATTAAAAGGGCAATACTCAATAATTTCTGCAGGTATCACTTAAATAGGCAACGCAATGATAGATAGTTACGCTTTTTAACCTTTCGGGGGCTTTTTGTATTACATTTTATTTAAGAAAGGAGATAAAAAGTTAATATGTTCAAGAAAAATGTCTATCAAAATGTATAAACTTTTGGCATTAAGGGAACAGTTAAGTGCTCTGAAAAACTGACGTGGAATCACCCAAACCATAGTTATCAAGTAGAATACTGCTTGGTAACAACAGAATTTGCAATAAACTAGCCGTTGTATATATTTATACATACTTTTAGACCATACTTTTAGAATTACTAGTGTAGTACATATGAAATTTAATTATATACCTGGTCCAAGGAACTGGCAGCCCCGAGCCCTGACTGCTGCCCAAAGATTAGAAGAGAGTTGCTGAGGATTCTGGTGCTGGAGAATGAGCTCTGTAACTGTTCGTTCACCTAACGATCGAGCTGCTCGCATGGCACGAATCCTGCCTTCTTCTTCCACTAATTGGCAGTGGACCAGAGTCACCAGCTTCCTCTGCATTGGGCGACTCAGAACACTCTGAGTAGTGCTATTCAGACCAACTCCTTTAAATAGAGTAAAAAATTATTTCTAGGTTTACAATGCAATTTTAGAGAGTTCAGAAAAACTTCCTTGGATGGGCTGATTAACTTATGGGTTCTACTAGAATATTTAAAATGAATAACAGAATTACACAAGTGAAGCATTTCTAAAAGTATACAAAAGCTTTTACCTCATGCATACATTAATGACATTAAATATACCATCATTCATTTTAATCATGGAGAAATAAAGATGAAAAGGCCAGGCAATAATAATTAGTTTAAGACCCAAATCTGGAGGTCATAACAGTTCTGACATTATTTCATAGTGAAATAACAAGCTGTAATGGCAAGATAATAATGGCAACTTCCAATTTTATTACCTTCCCTATAGCACACCATATAAAACTGAATAGAAGGCAGACAATTCAGTTTCCAAATGATAGTGAGCCCTTCTGAAACCATTATTGCATTTATACTTAAACTTATTTCTGTAACTCATTCAAATAATGCTTCCAACATCACATTAACTCTCAATTCACTACTTTGTTTGATATGGTTTGTAATAACATTATTTAGCACTAGTGAGTTTGATTTACACTAAATAAAGTAATTTCATTAACATTCATTTACAGCCCACAATTTTTATGTTAATAAAAGCATTTTTAATAAACATTTGCTTAGCATTACTAACTGCACCCGACTCACCTCTAGCGCTGCTGAGTGGTTTCAGGTACAATGCTAATTCTTCTACACATTTCCTGGCTTCGTCATAATGCTTTGTATCTTCAACCCCACTACACAATGTAACGGGCTGCTGCTCAGGGACCTAGAGATCAAAAGAAGCGACCTGTGTCAGTGCTTACTAATCAATTAAACAAGTGCTTTTTCGAGTATGTTTTACGCACTGCCATTTAACACCAGTAACATCAAAACTCCCATTAAATCTACTGGATTCTTAAAGAATTTCATATTCTTTTAAGTACTATTCCTCCCATATTTTTTCCACTCCTACCCCAGTCCAAAAAACTAATCTATTTCTGTCTCTATAAATTTGCCTATTTTGGACATTTCATATAAACAGAACAGAATGATACAATAGCTTCCAAAGTGGCTGCACCATTTTTCCATTCCCACCAGCAATAAATGAGTTTCTGTTGCTCCACATCCTCACCAGCATTGGGTGTTGTCAGTGTTTTGGATTTTAGATATTGTAATTGGTGTAGTAGTATCTCAGTGTTTTAATTTGCAATTCCAAATGTCAAATGCTGCTGAGCTCCTTTATTTGCTCATATGCTATCTGTGTATCTTTTTGGTGAGGCATCTGTTCAGAGCTTTGTCTATTTTAAAATTATGTTCTTTTTAATAAGCTGTAAGAGTTCTTTACATATTCTAGATGCAAGTTTCTTACCAGATATGAGTTACAATTATTTCTCTCATTCTGTGGGTTGTTCTTTCACTCTCTTGACAATATCCTTTGAAGCACAAAGTTTTAAATTTTGATTTAGTTCAATTTATCTTGTCTTGTGCTCCTGAGTGTCATATCTTAAAAAAAACACTGCCTACTCCAAGGTCATAGATATATCTAGGCCTATATTTTTCTTCTAAGAGTTTTATAATTTTAGCTCCTACATTTACCCTTTGTTCCACTTTGAGTCAATTTTTGTACATGATGTGAGGTAGAGGTCCAATTCATTCTTTTACATTTGGATATCAACTTTTCCTAGAACATTTTGTTGGAAAAACTGTTCTTTTCCCATTGAATGACCTTGGCAACCTTGGCAAAAAAATCATCTGACTGTACATTGGGTTTATTTCTGAACTCTCTATTCTATTACATTACCTAAATATGTCTTTATGCCAGTACCACACTCTCTTGATCACTTTAGCTTTGCAGTTTCAAAATCAGAAAGTGTGATTCTTTTTTGTTCTTCTTTTTCAAGATTGTTTGGCTATTTGAGGCCCTTATGATTCCATATAAATTTTATGGTGAATTTTTCTATCTCTGAAAAAAAGAACCACCACTGGGATTTTGATAGTGCTTACAATAAATCTGTAGGTTACTTTGGATATATTATCATCTTAATAATACAAAGTCTGCCTCTCCATGAGCATGTGATGTCTTTCCATTTGTTTATATCTTTTTAAATTTCAGCAAAGTTTTGTAGTTTTCAGAGTACAAGTCTTTCACTTCCTTTGCTAAAATTATTCCTAGGTATTTTATTCTTTTTCATGCTACTGACTTACATATGTGTTTTTAAAAAAAATATTTTTATTGACTTCAGAGAGGAAGGGAGATATAGAAATATCAATGATGAGAGAATCATTTATCGGCTGCCTCCTGCACACCCCCTATTGGAGATTGAGCCTGCAATCTGGGCATGAGCCCTGATCAGGAAGAGAAGACCTCCTGGTTCATGGGTCTATGTTCAATCACTGAGCCAAACCAGCCTCGGCTGGAATTGTTTAAATTTCCTTTTGGATTGTTCATTGTTAGTATAGATATATAATTAATTTTTGCATGTTGATTTTTTAACTGCAACTTTGGTTAATTAATTTATTAGCTCTAACTTTTCTTTTTTGTTGTTATTCTTCACCTGAAGGTATTTTTCCCATTGATTTTTAGAGAGAATAGAAGGAAGGAAGGAAGGAAGGAAGGGGGAGAGAGGGCAAGAAAAACACTGATGTGAGAGAGACACATCGATTGGTTTCCTCCCGGACATGCCCCAACCAGAGCCAGGGATCGAACCTGCAATCAAGGTACATGCCCTGGACCAGGAATCAAACCTGCGACCTCCTGATGCCAGGGCCAACACTCTAACCACTGCGAAACACCGGCCAAGGCTCTAACAGTTTTTAAATGGAACTCTTTAGGGTTAAAATAGTAGATATTATGTGTTAAAATGCATACGATCCTACCTTCAAATTTCACAAACATTAGCTGTTTCAGTTAAGATATGAGAACGACTTACTCATTTTGTAGGGGGAAAATCAGTTCATCCTTAGATATCTTTACGAAAAGATATCTGCCTCCTGCATGCCCCCTACTGGGGACTGAACCTGCAATCTAGGCATGTGCCCTAACCAGGAATGGAACCAGTGATCTCTCCAATGCATGGGATGACACTCAACCAACTGAGCCATGTCAGCCAGGGCCAATAAGTCTATTTTTAATATGTTTCCAAAATGTCATACTGGAATTTTCAAATTAAAAGAAAAATGATTATAAATAAAAAATTAAGTATAGGAAGAAAAGAAAAAGCTGCACTTTTCCTTTGGACAAATATTTTATAGTATTGCTGATGACATCGAAACAAGTATGTAAGTAAATTAAGTTTTCCTTTTGAATAAGAACTGCTCTCTTTACCTTCAACATACATAATATTAACCTTCTCTACTTTCTGCAGCCTTTAGGATATGTGAGTGGGGTTAGATCCAAAATTTCAGTATATTTATTCTGATAACGATTTACAGTAAACAGATGGTACTTTGGACACTATGCAAATTAATCTGGTGAGGGGTTATTTAAGTGAATCATAGCTGGCTTTCAAAACCCTGCCTCCCATGACTTTGTGAAGCCTTCTGAAGATACCACTGATCTTGAATTAAAGGATCTGACATAAAACTTTCAAAGTATTACTTTCAGAATTACCACACTAAACTTTATGGTTATCTAAGGATATTTGCTCCTACCCTAGATAAATGGTTCCCAAAGGCTGTGGGCTACAGTTTCTTGTCACCTTCTTCTTTCATTTTGATTAATATCTACTAAGTAAAATTGTCTGAAGCAGCTTCACTTTTCTTATTAAGTAAAATGCAATGGTTTTGTGAATAATATTTTCCTCAATATAAAAGTCCTTGTGACTTCTTAGGTTTCTCTAGTAATCAGAATTGCTAAATTTGTTGAGAAAGTCTGACACCAGATTAAAATACTGTTACCGTATTATAACTGAGAAACACTGGACTACCACTGTAAGTCTCCTAACAGAATGAAATAAAGTATTTGCACAGTACTGAACAGAATTTTATCTATTTAAATAGAGGGCAATATTATCCAGTTTTAATTCAACAAATTTGCCTCAGGAGGAAAACACACAGAAATTAAGAAGTATAGTAGGTCACCCATCATACCTGAGCACCCACTAGCTGAAGCAACGCTGAGTTCACGGGAAGGAGCTCAATGTCAGTATTGATAGTGGTCTGGTCAAATGGGCAAGCCTTCCGGTGGAGTTTATTCAGGCACATCTTGCAGACAGTATGGCCACAACCCAAACTGATGGGCTTTCGAATTGTTTCGTCGAAAGTCTGAGTGCAAATCGGGCAGGAAAGGAAATCCGTCCACTGTGGAGCTTGTACAGGCATTGCTTCTGGAGTTACAATTCACTAACACACACACACACACACACACACACACACACACACACACACACACACACACACACTATCTAAAGCAAAGATTCCACTGGAATCAAAATCTTTGAAAAAAGTTTATCTTTTTTTAATAGTTTCTGTAGATACAGTCAGCACATAGTGTGAAATATAACCTGGAAAACAAAGAAAAAGAAAAAAATCAATCTCCCTTTTTAAATTACACTGTCTTCTCAGCCTACTACCTCCAACCTTTTATAGTGCATTTATATCACCATACCCTCTTATTGCCCTTTTACAGAATTAGAGCCATAATTAAACATCCAATCTCAGCCCCTCAATTTAAAGATGAGGTACAGACCCCAGAAAGACAGAATAACTTGCCTAAGGTGACACACAAAGTTAGTAATAACATTACAAGATCCAAGACCTAAGTCTCTCAAGTTTATCTAAATCTGTGATTGTTTCATATTTAAAAATTAGCCTTTTTAAGGTGGTCAATAATATTCTGTGTTTTAATCTGTACACCAGTTATATGAATTTGTTCAGCTGTGAAGTTTTATCAAGCTCTACACTTACAACATGTACATTCCTGTTGTATGTTAACCCCTCAATAAAGAGAGAATTGGCCCAAAATAAAAACTACCTTAAACTATTTTATCATCAAATTTGGTATGGGTAATGAGATAAAAAGAGATTGTACTGTCTTTTTAAGGTTTATTTTTAAGATTTATTTTTAAGGATTTTAGATATTGTTTTTTTAAAAAATGTTTTATTTTATTGACTTTTTAGAGAGTGAGGAAGGGAGAGGGAGAGATAGATAGAAACATCAATGATGAGAGAGAAATATCGATTGGCTGCCTCTTGCACGCCTCCCACTGGGGATCCAGCCTGCAACCTGGGCATATGTCCTGACTGGGAATCGAACTGTGACCTCCTGGTTCATAGGTCTATGCTCAACCATTGAGCCATGCTGGCTGGGCAATAAACATAATTTTTAAAAAATAATAAATAAATCTCTAAATATTTATATTAATAAAATGAATAATTAATATTATAATTTTTCTCAGAGCTTTTTGTTTTACAAAGAAATAAGATCTTCTAGTAAGAAAAGTATTTCAGTGAACAATAAACAGTAAGACCAATGACTCATTTTACCAGCTCAGTAAGTAGTCTCCAGATATCCAACTCCAACTCTCATAGCTACAGTGTACCACTCAATTCAAATCCATGCCTCTGCAAAATAACAAATAACTATTTGTTGTGAGCCTCAAAGGTTTAACTGTGGTTAAAGCAACTGCTAAAGAGCTACTATAAACTTACGACAACATGATATAAAAGAGCTTGGTTTTCTGAAAAAAATCTGTGTGTCAGGCATTATTTTAGGTATTTTCAGATGCTTCTCTTATTTAAAGAGGCCCAGTGCCTGAAATTAGTGCACTGGTAGGATCCCTAGCAGATGCTAGTCAGGGCCTCCCTCCCTTCCCCCTGCCGGCCCTGGCCCCTGGTAGAACTCCCCGACAACTCCCAGTTGAGGGGACAATTTGCATACTATGCTTTTATCATATAGGATCTACCATAAATCTAAATCACAATATAATATCTGTTAGGTATTTTAGCATTTTCAGTGTTGTTCTATACACAGTACCTTATTAGCTGAATGCTCACAACAATGATATAATGTCATTATCTCCATTTTAAAGATAAAGGAACTGAAGTACAGCCTGGTCAGTGTGGCTCAGTTGGTTGGAGTGTCATCCTGTACACTGAAAGGTTGTGGATTCAATTCCTGGTCAGGGTGCATACCTAGTTTGACGGTTCAGTTCCCAGTCAGGGCACATATGGAAGGCAACCAATTGATGTTCTCTGTCAAAGTGATGTTTTTTTCCTTTCACTCTCTTCCCCTCTCTAAAAGTAATAAGCATACCCTCAGGTAAGGATTAAAAAGAAAAAGAAAAGAAATCAAAGTACATAGAAGTACTCAAAGACTCAAGACTAGTAGTAAGTGGCAGGATTGGGATTCAAACTCAGACAGACCTAACTCCCAAACTGGGACTTTTAAATCCCATAATTTGTGCCACCTTACAGATGAAAGTTAATAGTCACTAAAGTGAGGGAACTTTTAGGGGTGATGGAAATATTCTAAAATTGGATTATGGTGATGGTTGCACAATTCTGTAAATTTACTAAAAATCATTGAACCATGCACTTAAAATAAGTTAATTTTATAGTATGCAAATTATACTTCAATGAAGCTGCTAAAATAGTCATTAAAGGCTTTTTATAAAAGGTCAGTTTCAAATGTAATAACTTAAAAATATAAAGACACTTCAGATTTGTTCTATGAGCATAGCGATACCACTATTAGTTATATTGCTTTGAGGATTCCATTCACATATTATAAACTGACATTTTTAATGTTTTAAAGCATATTACCATCCCCTCTATTACAGGTTCATCTTATCTGCTTCTGCTTTAGAGGGCAAAACATAGAAATTAAAATTCATCAAGTATCTACTCTGGGCCAGTCACTCCTCCGAGGCTTTACTAGGCCCATTTTATAGAAAACTGCTGAGCTGCTGCAGCATTAAATAACTTGCCCGAAGCTATAAACTGTGGAACTGAGACTAAAACTCAGCTCTTATATGAATTGAAGCATAAGTTGCTCTGAGAAAGATATTATATCAAACAAAACCTACTGTCTGTAAGAAGGCAATCTTGATCTATTCCCACCCTACCCTATGAGATGAGTTTATCTCATAATTCTTGGGCTTAACTTAATCTACCATTTCTCTGGAACATTTCCATAGCAACCAACATGCAGGGCAACACCAGAAAAAAGTTTTAACTATCTTGAAAAATAAAGCTAAAAGCAGGAAATAAAAACAAAAAGAAGAAAAATAAGTGAAGGCTTATTGTAACTATTCAGTGTTATAATTCTCAGAAAAACATAAATTAATTTACAGATAAAATAGTCGGAGATGTTTGAGAAAGAGCAAGGTTTCTCCAGCAATAATACCCTGTGAAGAAAGACCCGATTGCACAACATCCTAGATATAAATAATTTCATATGCTAATGTTAGTACTAATGGAGAAATACTTGGGACAAGTGTGATGAGAAGGGCTTTTGATTTAGAGGGGGAAAGGCCTGAAAAATAGAACTTGATAAAGAAGGGTTAAGAAAGCTACAAAGGGTTCAATTAGGTCGCTTACTTACCCAGTGTGCAGAGGGACAAAAAGAAACATTTCTACCTCCAACTTAATGACAGACTTAGAAGAAACAGTAAAAAAGATAAACCCATTCCTGGGGAAGCTGCCTGCTCTGAAGCTGACACAGTACTCTAAGCCGTGAATAACTGTGTCTCACTTTGTGTCCACAGTCTGAAGCTCCAGGTTTCTATTCTATGTAACAAAGTTACACGTTGTGTGTAAATGTGCTATGCTAAAGAGGAAATCAGCAGTTGATTAATAGGTGATAGAATGACAAGGCCAGACTCAAAAGCATCATCTTTAAGATCCTTTAAGCAGAAAAACCGTCCCCATTATAGCAAAACAGCAAATAATTATTTTCTTCTTTCAGTCTTTGCATTAATACTCTGCGAAGTGGTACATATACTATACTATCAAGTACATAAGTATATCATCATCATTTAGTGGTAATCCAAACATCAAGGACATAACGAGAACTAATAAAATCAAGACAATTTTGGAATACACCAGGCATTTTAATTCATCTGTCATCTGTTAACTGCTTTCAAATTAAATGCAAACTTCTGAAATTGGCTGTTTCCTTTGTAAAAAATGATGTCTCCTTAATTAAGGTTGTTTGCTAAATCATAAAGATAACTCAGTCCCATACAAAAGATTCATGAATAAATTTTGAAAAGTAGGCCAAATATTTTAATGAGACTTTAGTTTTTCAGATCACATCTTGAAATCATCCTCCTGCTACAATAATGGCTCCTTTTTGTAGAGGAAGTTTGCTCCCTGTGTACCCAGAAGTTATTTTGAGACACAATGACAAATCTGATTGGCAAGTAGTCAATAATCATGACTGTAGGGGGAAAAACTCACAATGAAAAGAAAATCTAACTGTGCCTCATAAATTTATATTTCAGATTGTTAAATACTAATCTATAGACTGAGAAATCCAGTGAGAATGAGACATTTTAAGGAGAACTAGTATTATTTCTTTAACTTATCCCACTTTACTATTTCTTTCCCCACCAGCACACTTAAATCCTTGTTTAGAGAAGCTAAAAAACACATTTCTATCTCCCACCTGTCTTATTTAAAAAAATTTTTAAATCATTCAATCCCTGTCCCTGCCTTCTCCTAGACTTTATTCTCTAACCCCCTTACCTCTCAGTTTTCAAACTACACTTTTTCCCAACCACTATTTTGAAATGACTTTAACTGGCATATCAAAAACCTTCTTATGTTCAATAGTCACATTTCAGTCCTTAATTTTCTTCTTTCTATACAGCATTAATAATGTTGACCAGTTGCCCTAGCCCAGGGGTGGGCAAACTTTTTGACTCGAGGGCCACAATGGGTTCTTAAACTGGACCGGAGGGCCGGAACAAAAGCATGGATGGAGTGTTTGTGTGAACTAATATAAATTCAAAGTAAACATCATTACATAAAAGGGTACCGTCTTTTTTTTTTTTTAGTTTTATTCATTTCAAATGGGCCGTAGTTTGCCCACGGCTGCCCTAGCCTGTTTGGCTCATGGATAGAGCATCGGCCTTCAGACCAAAGGGTCCCAGTGTTCAATTCCACTCAAGAGCTAGGGCACTGACGTACCTTGGTTGCAGGCTCCTGCAGGAGGTAACCAATCGATGTGCATCAGTATTTCTGTCTTTCCCTCTCTCTTTCACTCTCTCTAAAAATCAATGGAAAAATATCCTCGGGTGAGGATTTAAAAAAAATTAAGGTGACTATTGAACATAAGAAGGTTTTTGATATGCCAGTTAAAGTCATTTCAAAATAGTGGTTGGGAAAAAGTGTAGTTTGAAAACTGAGAGAATAGAGTCTAGGAGAAGGCAGGGACAGGGATTGAATGATTAAAAAAAAAATTACAGCAAATGCTACTCCACTTTGGCTTCTATAATGGCACACTGTCCAAGTACTGCAGGCCACTCCTTGTGTGCTGCACTTGAGGGCTTCTCCTTCTCTGCCCATCCTTGGAATATGTGTGGTTCCCTCAGAATTCCTTCACTTCTCTTCTCTACAAAATTCCCTTGAGTGATGTCATCTATTTTTCAGCTTTCAACTATCAACTAGATGCTGATGACTTCCAAATCTATATCTCAAGTTCAGACCTCTCTTCTGAGTGCCACGGCCATATAACCAGTTGGCTACTAGTCATTCATGTTTAACTAGGTCTCAAACCATTTCAACCTAATGAAACCTTTTGTTCTCTAAGTCAATGACTGAGTGACTTAGCTGTTGACAGAAGCATTGGGGAATCATCCTTGACTACTTCCTTTTCCTCAAATCTGCCTCCTCAAATAACCAATCACCATGTCCTATTCATTTTATTTCTTCAATGTTTCTTGAAATCCTCCCATCCATTCCCAATACCTTAGTTTAGGTTATCAACATCTCTTACCTGGGTAACTGTGACAGTTTTTTAATTGGTGTCCCTGTTAACAGTATCCCCATCAATCAAAGCTAGGCTATATAACTATATTCTCCTTAAAATCAGAGAATATCTTGGGGATTTCCCCTTGCTTGCTTTTTGCTCTATAGTTTTAATATAGAAAAAGTCAGCCAATATACATTAGCAAACCTATCAAGCGGGAGTATTTGTTTTCTCCAAGACAACGTCAATTAGGCTAATGGAAAACTTTAAGGCCTTAGCATCCAGAATAGCACGCACAGCCCAACAAGGATATACATACAAGACTCGAATACCACTATAACGAAACTGGATCTAAAAGACATCCATAGAATACTACATCCAACAACAGCAATTTTTTTTTTCAAGTGTACATAGAACACTCTCCAAAACAGGCCATATGCTAGGCCAGGACAGGAACCCAAGGACTGTTTAACCCTACTAGTTTATTTAAAAAATAAACAAACAAAAAACAGACTACGGCAACTATTTCTTTTGAAGAGAACTACAGGAATATTTTACTAGAACACACTGAGAAATACTCAGGGGACTGAAATAGAAAATGACTCCTAATTTTACATATAATGTATTGAAGTATGGCATACATACAAAAAGATACACAGATAGAGAAGGTTCAGCTCAATGAATTATCACAAAGTACACATACCAACAGACATATTACCAGCACCCTGGCTAGCATAAGGCTCAATAAACCCTTTGTTTTAGAAAAGCATTCACATGAAAGTTTTTGTTTCACAATCCCAACTACAGGATATTCTGGAAAAGGCTAACTATGGAAACATTACAAAGATCAGTGGTTGCTAGGAGTTGGGGCGGAGCAGGGATGAATAGGC